AAAAAACCTTCATATTCATGACATGTGTCATGTCATGATTATGAAGGTGTCATGTCAGTCTTATGCACACCCCTTCAAGTAAAGTGTAACCAAAAACGAAAACTAATAAAAATGACAAAAACTAAAATGAAAACGGAAAATATAAAAATAAAAACTAATTCAAAATATGAATCAAACCAATGATACTAAAATAACCCTGGACCTGCTGTGTCTGTGTTGCATTTCCTGTCTTGAGTGAACCTGGTAACTCTGTGCGTTTCCTCCTGCGGACTGCCGGTCATGTTTTATATATACTTACTACGACTGTGTCCTGTTTAAGGCAGAATGTGTGTGACTGTGCTGTGTTCTGTCCTATAGATGGATGAGATTAAACTAAAGGAGCGCACTGTCTGTGGGCTGGAGAGAGAGCTCAGCGTTCAGGCGGGCCACATGTGGAAACTACAGCAACAGAAACAGGCTGTAGACACTCAGCTGGCCCTGCTGCGAGACTCCAGCCCCAGACGAGAGGGCCCTTATTCACCCACTGCAGGAGACGCAGTAGAGAACACAGCTAACCCTGTAAGCACCTCTCCTTCATTACTAAACCTCACCGCTTGCTGCACTTCTGCTTTCACTGTGCTCACCTGCTCGGATCCATTTTCCTCAACCCAGATTTACCATAGTAAAGCGCAGCAGTCAGGTTTTAGAAAATCCCATTCATATTCTCCATAGAAAAACTGATTTTGAGCAATAACATAAAATGTTTTCAAGACAAACCTGCCATGAGCTCCATAGTTATTAGGTGATGGTGTATGCATCTTTAAAAGCCACAAGTAAATCATGTTAATTTTTTAAAAAGTCATGCCAATTTCCTAGTAAAAAGCTGTACTAGAAAAAACGTATGATTCTATATGTTTGGATATTATGCAATAAACTTCAGATGTAAGATCTTTTCAATGACGACTCATAGTTAAATGGTTGTATATTGTACAGTCTTTTTTTTCTTTTCTTTGTGTCATGAGATTGTGGGATGAGTAGTTAATTAATTCATACTTTTGTCTTTTTGAATACGTATATTGGCGGGTGTTAATTTGACCTTTTTATATATATATATATACATATAAAAGTATATATATATGTATATATAAGAAGTTAATACTTTTATTCATTGAGAACACATTTAATGGATCATAAGTGACATTAAAGACATTTATAAAGTTTCAAATAGATGCTGTTCTTTTCTAAATTTATATTTATTTTAAGAATTCTGCAAAAATGTATCACAGTTTCCACAAAAATATTAAGCAGCACAACTTGATAAATAATAAGTAATGTATATTGTGCAGCAAATCAGCATATTTTCATGATTTCTGAAGGATCATGTGACACAGAAGACTGGAGTAATGATGCTGAAAATTGAAAATTCAGCTTTACGTCACAGGAATAAATTACATTCTAACATATATTCAAAAAGTAAACAGTTATTTTATATTGTAATAATTTTTCACAATATTACTGATTTTACTGTATTTTTGATCAAATAAATGAAGTCTTGGTTGAGCGTAAGAAACTTTCAAAAACAAACAAACAAAATCTTACTGCTGCCAAACTTTTACTGTAGCTTTAATTCAGAGTTTGTAATGTGATTCGTTTTGGAGCTGGTTGGTTTGGTTCATGGCTTATATTCTATACTGAAAACATTTGAAATGCCTCTGGAGAAATGAAATGAGAAAAATACTTACAGAAACAAGGTTGTGTAAAAGTGGTCAATGACTGTTGCACTTTACTGTTTATTCATTATCAGCTATGCTGCTATTCACAGCATCAGTCCTTGAAGAACCTCTAAAAAGATTTGTATTCCAATCCAGTGTATAAGAACATTCAGGTCGATGATCATCAAAAAGGTCATGTGCATGTGGTAATAACTTTATGCACAACATACTTTCCTTGCTTGATTTCAAGAGAACAAAAATGTTACAAAAGTGTGCAATATGGCCCCCGAAAAGATGATTAATCGATAGGTTGGAATTAAAAATAACATTTTGTGCAGAGGTTCTGAAAGAATGTAATAGACCTGGGTTTGAGGAAGATATTACCGGTCCAGCTGCTTGTTTCATCTGCTGGAGTAAACACAGATCTGTCCCGGGATCCTCACGCTTGACAGCACGACTCTAATGTTCTATTCTTTCCTACATCACACATTACAAGCATTAGGATCATAATTACACCTCTTATTGCCTGTGCGCGAACTCCTCTATAGACATTAGTGACAGATTTTCATTATTCTTAGTGTTCTTACTCAATTAACTTTTGTTAGTAATGTTTGTATCAGAATGATCATCCAAAACAACCAAACCAAACACAACATTAATTTGGCCATCATCATATCTTAATTGAATTTAATATTCTGCATCTACATAAAGCATTAATAGCATGAGCTACCGTATTTCTAAATGCCACATGCCTGGCAGTTTTGGCTTTGTGCTTGTTAGGTTTGCGGGTTTACTTATTTCCCTGCACACATGGTCCAAAATGTATTTAATACAACTTTATTTGCAGAGTCTCCTGCTGCGTCTTGAATAAGGGCCTGTTTAATTTGCCGTATATTCTATTTTAATTCTTTCTCTGGAGTCTAACAAAGAAACTTGTAATATTCATATTCTTTTTCAGTGTGTTTACATTTATGCATTTTACAAAGGATTTCATCCAAAGAAAATTAAGGATTTGTGTTTATTGGGATTACACCATGCTTCCAGTTGAGCTACAGAAATTGCATAGGAATATGTATATATGTCTTGTTTATTAGTCTAGTTTTAAATGTTTTATTCTTGTTTTAATGCTTTATTCTTCATATGGTTTTTTGCTGTATAACAGACCAGTGTGGTGTATCATGATATTAACTTACTGAGAGAAGCAGCTGTTTATCATTTATTACAAATTAATAGTATTTACAATTATTTAAAATATTATTACATTTTAAAATAACTGTTTCTAGTTGAATATATTTCAAAATGTAATTTATTTCTGTGATGCAAAGCTGAATTTTCAGCCTCATTACTGCAGTCTTCAGTGTCACATGATCCTTCAGAAATCATTGTAATTTGCTGCTCAAGATACATTTCTTATTATTATCAGTGCTAAAAACTAAGTTTTTGAAGCTTAATATTTTTGTGGAAACCTTCATACTTTTTTTTTAGTATTCTTCAATGAACAGAAAGTTCAAATATTATTTGAAATATAAATCTTTTGTAGCATAAATTACTTTACTGTCACTTTTGTTTAATTTAATGCATGCTTGCTGAATAAAATCATTAATTTCTTAAAAAATTATATAATTTGAGGGCTGTATAACAGACTTGTTTCACTGGTGTGGTGTAGCATGATATCAGCTGTACTAAAAGAATCAGCGTTAGTTTTAAAGCAGCTGTTTATCATTTCTGTGGCACCAAACTAATGTTTCAAAAAATGATGCCTCTTTTCCTATGAGTTTAAACTCACGTCGGGTTGCCCATTGTTTAGTCAAATATAAATATACACATATAAAAGTAGATGTAGCTGTGAGAGGGGCCGCCCATGTCGTTTCCAGTGGTGGAAAGAGTACTGAAAAAATATACTCAAGTAAAAGTACCATTACCTTCCCAAAAATGTAGTGTGAGTAGAGTAAAAGTACTTGTCCAAAAAACTACTGAAGTAAGAGTAAAAGAGTAGCCTATTTAAAAGTACTCATGAGTTTTGAGTAGTGAGTACTGAGCTGTGGATTCTACCCCCTCATAATAAACGCTGTACACCGCAATTGATACATTTTAAAAATGTTGTACATTCTGTAATTCACATTATGTTTGTCATAAAGAGTATCTATCATCCAGCAGTTTTTTTTATTTTGACTGCCATCTCTTTAAAATACATCAAAACAGCACGGAAACAGTATTCAGTTGAAGAAAAGATTAAAGTTATTCTCAGTACAGTCATCCTCATTTAAATCATAAAGTTAGAAAAAATTGATTTAAAATCATGTGTAAGGCCACTGAGACAGCGTGCTGTTGTTGCACAAAACATATTAATGCAAATATATAAAAAGTGTTGAACTTAAAAATTGTTTATGCGCGAGTGCACTTGCTAAATGAAGGCGGTGTAACACCCCTGTGGACTGTTTGTTGTGGTACTGTGGTACTGTTGTACTGTTGTGGTACTGTGTTGTGGTTATTGTCAAGTGTGGACCACTTGACAATAACCGTGGACCACACACTATTTATTCACTCATACACTTATTTATCTAACACTCATACTCAGCCTACACCTCAAATTTGCACATAATATACAGTACCTGTACATACAAAAAAAAACTGTCTATTGTAATATACCTGCACACACAATTGTCAATTTATATATTTTTATTCCTTATTTACTTGTTCTATTTTTATTTTTATTATCTGTGTTTTTTGTTCTGTCACTGTCATTCTGTTACACTGTGGAAGCTTCTGTCACGAAAACAAATTCCTCGTATGTGTAAACATACCTGGCAATAAAGCTCATTCTGATTCTGATTCTGATTCTGGGTTCTTCTCCTTGTGTTGGTTTAGCCCGTCTAATCATTAGTTAATTACGTTCACCTGTCTGCCCCTCGTTATCTGCCCTATAAGTTCCTGTCTCTTGTATTCTAGTGTTGTCGGTTATTGTGAATGTTACCCCGAGTGTGTGTGTCTGTCTCTGCCTTGTTGTCGCTACATTAAAGAGCCTTATTTTGTATCCTTGTCGTCCTCGTCATCCTGCTTGCCTCCACACACCTGGTCCGTGACAGAATAACCGACCCAAAGTAAAGTATAGCAGCGTCTTTCCCCTCGTTTGTTTTTTCCAATTTTTGTCAGTTTTTATTTTGGTTTTCTATGGATTACCCCGCATTCCAAATTCTCCAGCTGGAGCAGGAGGAACGCTCTCTTGAGGACCACACCAACGACTTTCTGTCCCTGGCCCACCTCACGCACTACCCGGACAACTGCCTCTGTGGCTTCTATCAAGTCGGACTAAACGCCACCACACGAGCACAGTTGGCTGGGGATGGTCCTCGAGAGAGTCTCGCCGCAGAAGAGGATCGCCTCGGATATGGAGCCCAACACGTCAGACCAGGTCTGAGAGCCGGTGACAGTGCCCACCACGAGGGAGCAACCTGTGGACGGTGTGAGCGCGGAGAGGAGCTCCGCCGCCTGCATCATGGCTGAGGGTGAGCAGAATATGGAGGGCGGTCAGTGCCAAAACGAGGAGGAGAGACTTTTTTAACCCTCTGGGGTCTGAGGGTGTTTTGGGCCCTGGAGAAGTTTTGACATGTCCTGACATTTGTGCTTTTTTCAGTTGCTAATAAACATTTTAATGACTAAGTTTAGTAGCACCATAATCAGCACAAACTGGGCTACAATAATATGTGGGCAGCATGTATGTATGTGATTGTGTTTTTGAGAAAACAACGTTTATGCGTGCTTAGTGAAAAACTAAAATTTTAAAGTCACTGAAATAAGGCCATAAAACACATACAGAACATTTGTTCATAGGACTATTGAGAACAGATCTTGAAGTCTAGAGTTTTTGCATCAGAATGATGTGAAAATCATCTTGTTTACTCACTCACAGAAAACAATATATTGATTTAAATTTTCTAAGACACTTTTTGTGTAGAAAAGGAATATGCGAGGGGGCGTGAATGGTCATGTATAATGAGTGATTCACACCTGAGAAGACAAAGGCCTGCAGCTCATTATGCAGGCCTTTGTCTTCTCAGGTGTGAATCACTCATTATACATGACCATTCACGCCCCCTCGCATATTCCTTTTCTACACAAAAAGTGTCTTAGAAAATTTAAATCAATATATTGTTTTCTGTGAGTGAGTAAACAAGATGATTTTCACATCATTCTGATGCAAAAACTCTAGACTTCAAGATCTGTTCTCAATAGTCCTGTGAACAAATGTTCTGTATGTGTTTTATGGCCTTATTTCAGTGACTTTAAAATTTTAGTTTTTCACTAAGCACGCATAAACGTTGTTTTCTCAAACAATCACATACATACATACATGCTGCCCACATATTATTGTAGCCCAGTTTGTGCTGATTATGGTGCTACTAAACTTAGTCATTAAAATGTTTATTAGCAACTGAAAAAAGCACAAATGTCAGGACATGTCAAAACTTGTCCTGACAGGGCCCAAAACACCCTCAGACCCCAGAGGGTTAAAGAGCCTTATTTTGTATCCTTGTCGTCCTCGTCATCCTGCCTGCCTCCACACACCTGGTCCGTGACAGGCGGATTGTATAAAATGGCTAAAAAAAAACTTATTACATCACGCGCTGGCACAGATGCAGTATATTAACGCCACGGGTCATCAATAAGGTGCAGATTGGTCCTCAATTTGTGTTTCCAACACACTTTTTCACAGCACGCATCACACGCTCAAACTCATCAAAAGTCAACAAGTTCAACAAGCAACAACGACTTATCCAAGTGACTGCTGCAGACCGCGCGCGAGAGAGAGACGAGGCAGCGCAGATCGCCAGAAATCCGAAATTAACCTTAAAATATAGAGTAAGATGCAACTGAATTGATGCTTGAAGAATGAGCTTGCAGCAGCCATGATAAACAGAAGGCGGTTAAAGTTTTCTATGCACAATTTGATTTGACAAAAGTCACGAGACCGATTACTATCTCTCTATCCAATCACGTTGATGGATTAAAATAAGCATGTAACGACCACAAACGAAGGAAAATAGTGGAGTAAAAGTACCGATACATCACTTAAAATGTACTCAAGTAAAAGTAAAAGTACACCATTTTTAAACTACTCAAAAAAAAGTACAATTACTGATAAAAACTACTTAATTACTGTAACGTGAGTATTTGTAATTCGTTACTTCACACCCCTGGTAGTTTCACTCTCATCATGCAGCAGAAAGCAGATGGCTGAAGGTGAGAGTGTGATCTTTCCCACATATCACCTTCTCAGGGCTGATAGGAAACGCATGGATGCACACACTTTGTATTCACATGTGTGACGTATTTTTGCATCTTTATATCCAAGGCTTGTTTCCCAGGAGCAGAACATCCGTGTCTCTGGCTGTATTTGTGTTGCTGTTGGTTTGATGTCCACTTCTGCTGTGGTGGGGCTGCTGCTTTCATTTTCTCTGCAGGAGAAAAGATGGATTTGATCAGTGGCCTTTCAGCTCTTTGTCAGATCTGACTCTACGGTTTCTACGGTTACCTGAGATAATGGAATATTTCCTAAATAGCAACACCAAATGGAATTGAAATAAGATACATATATAAAAAGTGTATATATATCAAGACTTTTATGTTTGTCGAAGGTGTTTAAAGAAGCCTTGCAGTTTGACAGACAGACAGACAGATAGAGAGAGAGAGAGAGAGAGAGAGATAGAGTAACATTAAAAATGATATGATTGAAGAGTGTTTTTCCAGTTACCTGCAGTTGGCTTGTTTTCCAGATGCAGCAGTTGGATGAGAAGGACGCTCGACGTTTCCAACTGAAAATCGCAGAACTGAGTGCAATTATTCGCAAACTAGAAGACCGCAATGCACTACTGTCAGAGGAACGCAATGAACTGGTGAGTCTGTGATAATGTTACAGTTTTTCTTTTCCAAACTGTACTTGCTCTGTGCACAAAATGAGCACAAATGTAGTGTGTGTGTCTCTGAATATATGTGTATCATCTGTATCATGTTTACTGAAATATCATAGAGTATTAAAGAGTATATTTGCCTTTCTGAGTGTTATGTGATAGTGTGAATGTTCTCTGGAATGGTGGTAAGTGTCTGAGCAGTGATGAATGACTTCAGTGTTTCCTCCTCTCAGCTCAGACAGGCTTAAAGATCAATACAGAGACAGAGTGATTTAAACATGGCAGCTGAAACCTTCAGGAAGGATTTCGGATTCAGTTTACCACTCAATACGGCCCTCAACAATGACATGATGTTCAAGTAGACTGAAATAGCCTAGTTGGCTTCTCTATTCATTTAGATTTCATGTCTTAAACTAATTCTCCCGCTAGTTAGACAGTCAAGTATACTTGCATACAGTAGATTGTGTGAAATGTATTGCTTGATGGCTCTTCAAAGTACAGTATAAATCAGTTTGTTTGTTTTCTTTGACCATTTTGAAATATTGTGTTGTGTTCAAAATGTGTAACTTCACTGTTTTTTCACCGAAAGCAGTACTAGTACAGCAGCCTTTTATCTAAGGCATTGATATCCATGCATTTTTAAGTGTCAAAATATTATTTAGGGTTACTGTATGCTTTTGCCACTGCAGTTTTTTGTTGTTGTTACAATCTGTTTCTTTGTGTGTTTGTGCCCAGTTAAAGCGTCTCCGTGAAGCTGAGAGCCAGTATAAGCCGTTACTAGACAAGAAGAGACGTCTCAGCCACAAGAATGAGGAGCTGGTTCGTGCATTGAGACGCATGGAGAACAAACTGCAGTTCATCACTCAGGAGAACATCGAAATGGTAATGAAGCGAAGCAACTCACTGAACATATCTGTATTTGCATAGCATGAGCCCATTTAAATTTAGAGACTATTGAAAAAATATTACATTTTATATAGTGAAAAAAACAAATGGTGACCAGTTAAATCTCTTAAAATGCTGATTTAAAAAAAAAGTTCATTGATTGTTCACTGGGGTCAGTAAGTTTAGTTATTTAGTTAGTTATTTAGTTGTAAGTTTCTTAAGCTCACCAAGGCTGCATTAATTTAATCAAAAATGCAAATGCAGTAATATTGTGAAATATCATTACAATTTTAAACAATGGTTTCCTAATTTAATAGATTTTAAAATAGAATTGATTTCTGTCATGGAAAAGCTGAATTTTCAGCATCATTACTCCAGTCTTCAGTGTCACACGATCCTTATAATATCAAGAAACGTTTCTTATTATTATCAATGTTGAAAACAGCTGCGCTGATTAATATTTTAGTAGAAACCATAATACGTCCAGGATTCTTTGATGAATATAAGGTTTTTAAAAAACAGCATTTATTTCAATCGACCTCAACTTTTCCTGAAGGCATCGGTGTTTTATTTGCTAATGCAGTTTTATTGTTTGTATTAAATAAATGCACCTGCTTTTGAACAAATCAGAATTATTCCAATTGGAAATTACAGTAAATGCATGATGGGGAGGCTGGTAGAGCCTGGTCTGCATTGATCAATTTATATCCAACAACTGCTGCACTGTCATTAGACATAATTGGCCATTTCCAGCTCAGACACACTACTATTATTTAGATTTTTGATTCCCTAGACAAAAGGAGCATCCATCTGCCTATTCTACTGCATAAACCTATATATGTTTATATATGTTTGATACTGAAGTAGTCTTTTCAGGTGAACTTCACACTATTTGAGATAAAACATTAGCTTTGAATCCTGAAGCATCTTTATGTAACATGGCCATGTCTGCATGTAAACGATGTTAGTTGAGCCGTTCAGCATCCAGGAAGTACCCAGCCTTGTTACTGCTCATGTTTAAATGATCTCTGATCATTATGACAACTCATCAGACATGAGTAATTATCTGTCAGCAGTATCTGTGCACACATCCGGGTCACTTGGCGTGAAGAATGAGGTTTTATTTTGCAGCGAGAGAAGGCTGGGACGATACGGCGGCCCAGTTCTTTGAACGATCTGGATCAGAGTCAAGAGGAAAGAGAGATCGAGTTTCTCAGACTACAAGTGCTGGAACAACAGAACATAATCGACGATCTGTCCAAGGTATCAGTATATCTTCTCACATGGATGCACACAAAAAAAAGTATTTTAAAAGCCATAATTAGATAATTATAAATATACGTGCAAACTGTGTCTTGCTGTTCTCTGATCGGCCTGTTTTAATTTCCAGGCGCTGGAAACCACTGGATACGTGAAGAGTGTGATAGTGAGTCATTTTGCCTCTGGGAAATATTCACACTGTGAACTGCTAAAATATGTTTTTGCATATGAGTGCAGTACATGTTACCTAACAAGACCCAGATGAAAATGGAAATGCAGAAATATCTATTTTTTCAAAGGGTGAATGAAATTAGCAGCTGAAATGAGTGAGTAATGTACTGTATGTGATGTTCAGACATAATGTAAATACAGTTGCATGCATGCATTTCTGTAAAACTGGAAGTGTAGTGGAAACAGCACTTTGTACTTTATAGAAATGAGATGTTCATCTATGATAGAGAATCTGATGCAATTAATGTGTTTTGTTCTTTAATGTAATCAGGAGAGAGACATGCTGCTGAGATACAGGAGACAGGACAGCCTACGCAGGAAGAAGCCCTTCAGAACCTGTAGGGTACGCAGACATCAGGACTGAACTACACATGCACATTTCCTTGTCAAACACACTTTCAGCAAAAAAATACTTACTGCATAATGTAATGTCTCATTCTTATATACTATTTACATTGAACGTACATTACATTATTCTTAATCATGCATTTTTAGATTAATTATGCATTCATACTGTGTATATAATATTTGCTTTAAATATCGTATTTTATTTTTTATTTGCTTACATTTTATTTAGTTTTGATAATCATATCCTTTGAATAATTGCATGCATTCATTTATAATAATATTTAATGTATGAAATATTTACTTTAAAATATTATAATATTGTTTTAGGTTTTTGTTTATATTTTATGAACTGATTGATATCATTTAATTATGCATTTGAAGTGCATTTATTTTTATATTAATACTAAAAATGATCATTATAATTATTATATAATGTTGTATCTTTTTTTTTTTAAACACTGCTGTATTGACGAATCCTGGTGATGTCTTTTTAAAAATGTATTAATTTACGCAACAAATTAACATTAACCCTGTGATTTCTCACAGAAACGATCAAGAAATATTTAGATTCGATTTAATCAAAATATAAGCCCATTTTCTCCGTTAGTATTTGTTGAACTATTTTAATTTGGTTCCCTTATCTTCTGTATATTTAAACTTCTTTGGGGTTTTAAGGTTTTTAAAACTAAATCTCTCTCTCTCATTCTCTCCATAGCCGGTGGTGGAGACGTTTTTTGGCTATGATGAGGAAGGCTCTATAGACTCGGACGGCTCCTCTATTTCCTACCAGACGGACCGAACGCCCTGCACACCAGACGATGACCTCGAAGAGGTGCGTGTGTGTTTGGCTGTGTTTCTGAGTGTCTGTAAACTATAACCGTAAACTTGTCATCTCCCCGTGCTCAGGGAATGCTTAAGGAGGAGACAGAGCTGCGCTTCCGTCAGCTGACGATGGAGTATCAGGCTCTTCAGCGAGCTTACGCGCTCCTGCAGGAGCAGGTGGGAGGAACGTTTGATGCAGAGAAAGAGGTCAAGGTAAATCATTTAAACATCCCAGCCATTAAATATTTATATATTCACTCTCTTAACAATAACAACATCTCAGCTCAGATGGCTGTATAGTTCCTCATATGAATATGATTCTTTTTGCAATATTACACCGTGTCATAACCAAACACAATGCAATGTGTCAAGCTTTAAAAGCTTTTTCGACCACGACGAGTAACGGGACACTCTGTCAGTCACTTGGTCTCCACTTCTGTAATAATATCCCTTTGGAACACAAAACTTCACAAAACCTTTGTATTTTTCTCTTCCCAAAACTTTCCTAATTTAACTTTTAAAGACAAATGTTTTCTTTTTTTTTTTAAACCATTAACGTCACCATAAAATCAAAATAGACCCCATTTACTTTAAGCATGTTTTCGATGTTATTGTGAATGATTCATTAATGCACATTATTCTAAAGAACAAAGTAACTGTCAAGTAAATGTCATCAAAATGACATATTTCTGTGACATCATAAATTTCATCTTTTCTTTCAACGCTTTTCCTCCAATCACCTTGCAACATTCTGACAACGCCCACTTTTCACAAATCAAATCAATTCCTGAAAAACAACATTAAGTCCCGCCCTACATTTGTTTCCTAATTAAATATAATAATTTACTCAGAAATACGCAAAAATAAAATTGGTTTACAAATGGTTTACATTTCTTTTTTTTCTGTCCGTTTTTTTTCTTTCTTTCTTTCTTTATAGATGTGCAAAAATTACAATTGTTTGTCTGTTTTAGACTCGAGAGCAGCTTCAGGCCGAACTGATCCGGTACCAGACCAGAATAGCAGACCTGGAGTGTGTTCTAAGTCATCAGGGACAGGTAAAACACCTGCATTAGTACTGTTAGAACTGTTGTGCTTGTATAATTCCATTTAAGAAATAGTTCACCCCAAAAAAAATGTACTTACCCCTCAGGTCATCCAAGATGTAGATTAGTTTTCTTCATTGAAACATCATTTGGAGAAATTTAGCATTACATCACTTGCTCACCAGTGGATGCTCTGCAGTGAATGGGTGCCGTCAGAATGAGAGTCCAAACAGCTGATAAAAACATCACAATAATCCACAAGTGATGAATTAGTTTTTTACACTCAACTTTTCAATTCACAAGACGTTAACTGATGGACTGGAGTGGTGTGGATTATTGTGATGTTTTTATCAGCTGTTTGGACTCTCATTCTGACGGCACCCATTCCCTGCAGAGGATCCATTACTGAGCAAGTTATGTAGCAAATGTGTTCAGATGAAGAAACAAACTCATCCACATCTTGGATGGCCTTTCAGCAAAATTATGATAACAGTTTAAAACACCGTTTCTTGGAGACTTTCCCGTTCGGTTGCATGTGGAAACACAATAGTTGCATCAAAGCTCTTGGAATATAATACAAAGAAAACCAAACATTTGCTGTGGAACTTTTGGACCCCATTGAAAGAAGTGTAATTCGATCAGAGATGATGAATATGTCTTACAGTGACTTTCCAGCAGTCTTTGACTCGGCTTAGTTTATATATATATATATATATATATATATATATATATATATATATATATATATATATATATATATATATTTATTTTATTTTATTTTATTTTTATTTTTTTTTTCCCAACTCAGGGCCACTTGTAGTCTAAATCAAGGTTTTTTATATGGCAACACACACACATAATGACAACCCTAATCCCATATATTCCCTCAGTGAAGAGAATTTGAGCATGGTCATACATCAGTCTGGGCTGTGAGGGTTACGTGCACGGCTGAAATTGCTCTGGGATCAGAGATGCACTGAAGGAGAATGAGTCTGGGAGATTGATGGAGAAGATTTTGCATGCAAAGATCTGCTAACGTCTAATTATTCAAATCATTTGCATTCATATTATATGCATTTTTCAGGATATGAAGTGGATTGAGGAGAAACAAGCTCTGTACAAACGCAACCAAGAGCTTGTAGAAAAGGTGGGTTCATGTTCATTAGACTGATGGAAGACGAACATCACAATCAGAGCGCAGGTTTTCTTTTGTTTAAAATGTTTCTATTAATAACAGTTTAAGTTTAAGTTTTTAAAGTCTGACCTGTATGACTTTGGAAAACTTGGTGTAAAGACAAAAAAACACTTCTTTATTCAAGATACAATGCTGCCAAATTATAGGATTGGCCCAAAAACGACCCTCTTTCAGTAGTTCAACAGTGGTTTTAATTTATTTCATGAAGCCGATTTCAGGCAGTGAATTTTTTAACCCACACTTTGTGTTTTTTGTTGCCAGATTAAAAATATGGAGACGGAGGAGACGCGACTGAAAAATGAAATTCAGGATGCAAAAGATCAAAACGAACTCCTGGAGTTCAGAATTCTTGAACTTGAAGTGAGTCCTCCAAAATCTGTCATGTGTTTGCAACCGTTTCAGACACGGATTTAAACTTCTGGAGCAGAGGAATTGGTCAGTGAGAATAATAATGATGCTCTTTTGTTTCTTCAGGAAAGAGAGAGAAGATCTCCAGCCATAAACTTCCAGTACATCCATTTTGCTGAGGGCATGAGTCCCCTACAGATGTACTGTGAGGCAGAGGGTGTTACTGTGAGTTACCCTGAACCATATGCCTCATGTCTCTATAGCAGGGGTGGTGTCCAAACTCGGTCCTGGAGGGCCGGTGTCCTGCAGAGTTTAGCTCCAACTTGCCTCAACACACCTGCCTTCAAGTTTCTAGTATGCCTAGTAAGAGCTTGATTAGGTGTGGTTCAGGGTGTTTAATTGGGGTTGGAGCTAAACTCTGCAGGACACCGGCCCTCCAGGACCCAGTTTGCTCTATAGAGAGACCGGGGCTAGTTGTCACGCAGGGGAAGTAACTATAAGGTTTTAATAATGAATGATCAAGTTGGGGCAAGTACAATAACAAAAGTATTTTTATACATTCATTCATTTAAAGTTTTGCTAGCAAAAATAATGTTTTAATATCTTACCTTATGTTTTCATATATAACAGATTTCAAATACAGATGTTTTTTTTGCTGTTTTTATTGCTATACAGCTGTTATAACAGCTGTTTTGTTATTTTTATTTTATATTTTATTAAGGATTTGATATTACGCTAACTTATTGTGTTTTCACAATTGTTTTATCTTTTAAAATAAATGTTTTTATATTATCCTACATATAACACATTTTAAATACAGATGTTTTACCGTTTTACTTTGCGTAGTATTTTATTAAATAATGATTTAATGTTGTTACCTTTTTATGTTTTCATAATTGTTTTACTTATTGAATATTTTAAAAGAAATCGTTTTATAGTATCTTACAGATAACTCCATTAAATACAGATATTTGTTTTACTTTATATAGTATTTTATATTTTATTAAAATGTATTTGCTATTGTTACCTTATCTTTTAATAATTGTTTTACTGATTAAATCTAAAAGAAAAATTTTGATATAATATTGCATTATACATTATAACGCATTTTAAATACAGATATGTTGTATATATCTTACAAATTAACAGCTGGTTCCTTTTGTGACAACTTACCCCACATAGCTTGACAACGCTATTATGATATTTAAGTTAACGATTATCTAAAAATCCAGACTTTGATGAAAAGCAGTGGCACAGAAAACAACACCTACTGTAGGTATTTGACTAGATTTTCATTCTTTTAACGTTATTGTTGAATTTTATCGCACAGATCAGCTGAGAAATCATTTTTTCAATTTAGTTTTTTCAGTTTAGTTTTTCAGATGGAACTGATATCAGACCAAACACTTAACAGACTGTCAGTGATCCAGCACAGATCTAATCTGCTGATGTCTGGAGGAGGATTCGTGGTTTAATATCTCAATTAAAGTCTTTCTCACACCACAGGACATTGTGATCACAGAGCTGATGAAGAAACTCGATATTCTGGGGGATAACGCCGTAAGTGTATGTTGATTTCATATGTAAATGTGTGTGTTTACACATGCCTGGGTGTGTTTGGTACATGCATATCTCTGTCATTGATGTCTCTCTTTTCATTGGATGACACGCACAGAATCTGACCAATGAGGAGCAAGTGGTGGTTATTCATGCAAGAACAGTATTAACGTTAGCAGAGAAGGTATGATCCATACGTCTTTTTAAAATTACTGTTATTTCATGTTAATTTCATGCTGTTTTAATGATGGTTTTATGTGTCTTTTGACGTCTCTGTTGTGTCCAGTGGTTAGAGCAAATCGAAGTCACCAAATCAGCGTTACAGCAGAAAATGCTGGACATCGAAAGTGAAAAGGTAAATGTATTTAAATGCATTACACACGTTCATTTCCATAAGTTCCTCTTACTTACTGTATTTTATCCCAAAAATAAATGAAAATCATAATAAGCTATTATTTAGAAATAAATAATCATTTTATAATTAAGAAAATTAAGCATCTTATGCAAAATGTTTATAATTAAACACATTTTCCCCCAAGTTCCTAACATTTTACTGTTGATTTTTTCGTATTAGATTCTCATTACATATATAAATACGTTTAAATACAATACGTTTTTTTGCCAATGCAGTAATTGGAATTTGGTCAGATTGGTATATGATTATTATCATGACTGTGTGTGTGTGTGTGTGAGAGAGACCCTGGACCACAAAACCAGTCATAAATTGAGATTTATACATTATCTGAAAGCTGAATAAATAAGCTTTCCATTGATGTATGGTTTGTTAGGATAGGACAATATTTGGCCGAGATACAACTATTTGAAAATCTGGAATCTGAGGGTGCAAAAAAAAATTTAAATATTGAGAAAATCGCCTTTAAAATTGTCCAAATGAAGTTCTTAGCAATACATATTACTAATCAAAAATTAAGTTTTTAAATATTTACAGTAGGAAATTTACAAAATAACTACATGGAACATGATCTTTACTTAATATCCTAATGATTTTTGGCATAAAAGAAAAATCAATAACTTTGACCCATACAATGTATTTTTGGCTATTGCTACAAATATACCCCAGCGGCTTAAGACTGCTTTTGTGCTCCAGGGTCACACACACATATATATAATGGTCCTAACAGCAGACTTATTTTTAATTTAACATTTTTATATAATTTAAATTATATAATAATAATAATAATCTCTTTAATATATGCAGGGTGACATTTGTTAATGTGTTTTTACATCAAAACAATTATTTCCTCATGTCATTTTCCTCCAAAGGAGCTGTTTAGCAAACAAAAAGGATATTTAGACGAGGAATTAGACTACAGAAAGCAGTCTTTGGACCATGCACATAAGGTAAGGACCGTGCACCATGTTTTAGAGATCACACATGGCCAATAATCCATATGGTTTCTTCTCAAGCACTGCTGAGGAGTTTTACTCTATTATGAGATGCAGTTCTGTCCTCCTGTGCCCCCTGGTGGTGGTGAAGGCATGTCATCTCTGGCCCACACCCCTCTGTGTTTCTCTCAGCGTATCCTTGAGTTAGAGGCGATGCTGTTTGACGCCTTGCAGCAGGAGGAGACGGGTGGGAAGGTGTCCGAGCTGCTGACCGAGCAGGACCGTGATTCGCTGAGAGAGGCTGTGGATCAGTGGAAGAGGCAGGTCTTGAGTGAATTACGAGAGAGAGATGCACAGATACTCAGAGAGAGGATGGAACTGCTACAACATGCTCAAGCGGTATATACATCTGTAAAACATGAGAAATAGAAGTGAATGAGATCATTCTTATTAAGTTTTTGGGTCAGCACGATTATTATAATTTTTTTTTTCAGAAATGAATACATTTATTCAGCAATGATGCATAAAATTATCAAAAGTGGCGGTAAAGACATTTATAAAGTTACAAAAGATTTCTATTTCAAACAAATGCTGTTCTTTTGAACTTTCTATTCTTTAAAAAAATCATGAAAAAAATACATATACAAAGAGAATCCTGAAAATAATGCAAAATATGAAGCAGCGCTTCCTGGAGGATCATGCGACACTGAAAACAAATTCAGCTTTGCGTCACAGGAATAAATTGCATTTTAAAATATATTCAAATAGAAAACAGTTATTTAAAACTATAATAATATTTCACAATAACACTATTTTTACTGTATTTTTGATCAAATAAATGCAGCCTTGGTTAACATTCGAGACTTCTTTCAAAAATATATATAAAAAACAAATATCTTACAGATAGATAGATCCAGATGTCACCAGGTTTTAAGTGTAAATGTTGTTTTTGTTTAGCTCACAGGCCTCAAGTGTTCTTCTGTACCAGAGGAGGGTGACACACGTCATCAGGAGTCCCAGCGATCTCTTCTGTGCTGATACGAGACTTCAAACTGTTCACATCAACTCTGGAACATGGACATGGAATATGGTGCTCTCTATCTTGTGGACTAAAACTGTTTTTATCCTCCTGACCTTTTGAACTTTGCTTTGTGTGACCTCTGTGCGTGTGGAATTTAAGGACTCTTAAATTGAAACGCTCTCTCTCCTTTCCCTGCTGAGCAGGTGGTGCTGGAGGCTGCTTCCCTTTGGAAGCCTGATGGAATGAGAGGTGTTACGTTCAAATCCTTCCTCCCACTGTTTACACTCACTCTGCTTCGGTTCTGGTGGTACAGTGCGTCTGGTGTTTGCGTGGTGCCACTCGCCCGCTCCTGTGCATTGAGAGAAATGGAACTGAAAGTTTAATCCTGGAATTAAAATGATGTTTTCTAATGTACAGGAGCAGTGTTTCAAATAAATTTCGTAGAGGAAGACTGGAAAACTAAGAGGATGTTTCTGCGTCTTTTACTGTTCATTGAAAAGAAAGCGGCACAGTGGATTCTGAAGTACAGAAGTTTTGATTCTGAACAGAAACTCAATGTAAGGTAAGCTTGATTTGTTCATGCTTTGAAAATGGTTCGCAATTAAACATTTTGTACATAATATTTATGATATTTTCAAATATAGAGTAATTCAAAGTTCTTTCAAAATTAAGGGTTGGGAAATATGAACGAATAGAAATGCATAGGCTGTATATAGTAATACTTTAAAATAGTAATACTAATGAATAGCAATAATACTAATTTTTAAATAATAATAATAGTATAATGATATGATTTATGCTATATGTATATAGTATCCATCTGTTGCTTTGGTCTTCATCAACAGCCGCTTGCGCCACCTGCTGGTGAGCGACTGACAGCAGCTGGAGATCATGCATCAGTGCTCTACTGCTATTCCTGCAGCTCCCGGATGTGCAAAGGCCAAATTTCTGTCGAATTTTACCCACTGAATTTGTGGAAGCGAATTTGGAAAGTCAAATAAAATGGACCGAAATTTGCCTGTCGAATATTATACATCGTATTTTTAAACAGATTTAATATTTTGGAAGTGAATTCTGGAAGGTGAATATGAATTATTGCATTTGTAATTATGAGAATGTGTGTGAAATAGTTTGAATTGAAATATTCACAGCTTAAATAAACAACTATGTTCAATTTCAGGACCTAAAAATGCAAGCCCTGAAAATACAAGGCATTAAAATGCAAGCACTGTTAATGCAATGCATTATTTATTCACTTAGTGCTAATCAACGTGCTTTTTTGTTTCAAAGACATATGGCATTATTTTTCTTCCATAGTTTTAGTTAAAGAGGACTCTGATGGTCTTTAATGTCAGCAGCAGTTCAGTCAGTTGAGGGCGCTATCGAGCAGTTTATGATGTAAAATTATAAGGGTATTTGACAAATTTGCAACACTGTATTGGAAAGTCTGAGTTGTCAGAATTTCTAGAGACATATTTTAGTGTCTAGCAGTACATATTAAGAGGTTACTAAAGAAGTTTTAAATCAATAGTGAGGTCTTGCACACACCTTGAGGCGGGTTTTTTTCTTTTCTTTTTTAAGAAGCTTAACTAATAGAAATTCATCATGTTTTGAACCTCATATACTTTCCTGTCTGGTCAAGTTCAGCTCTGGTATGGACGAGAGTGATAGTGAAGGTGGAGAGGAGATGGTAGAATCTAGGTTTTCTGCCTCCGGCTGGTTCTTCCATCTCACTCTGTTACATCTGCAACTAAGAAATGCCACAGCCTTACAATCAAATAGAACCCCAGGAAGCGGAAGGCTCTGGAACATGGGCTGCAGCTCACAGATACCCAGGAGTCCTTTGTGTTTTCAGAAATAAGGAAATGAAAATCTTTTACGATCACGGCCTTTGAAGGTTCTGCTTAACTACAAAACATGCAAGAAAACCCATTTTATTATGGAAATAAACAACATGTTTAGTTTTACTCACACATGCACGCTGCTGCTAAAATTGGTTATGAATTTATGATTGATTTAGTCTGTTACTGTTGGTGCTTTTACTGCTTTCACAGTTTCATTGCACAGTTATTGATGATATAATTTATAGATCTGTTTAGATTCCACGCGTGCAAGAAGTGGTGAGATCATCTCTCTGGTCAGGTATGAATGTAAATGAATCATGCATCTTATATTAGATGAAATGCAAGCCCTCTTTCCTCAGGCTATTGTTAGACTGCAGCTATTGTGCTTTTATATGATCCATTCTGGCTGTAAAGTGTTTTAACGCATTCACTCCCAGAGGCATTCAGCATATGGGGCAGGAGTCCTCTCCTTTGGGCACATCTTCAAGCCTCCAGATGGACTTTCCCAGATCTCCACATGCGCAGATGAGACCAGACACACTGTAAACGACATCTGCAAGCACTTGGTGTGTTTAGCGTCTGCCTGTTTAACATGAATTGCAACACTTCTTCCTAATGCAACCCATTAGCTCATTTTTGAAGGCATTGCTTGTCAAAATAATAGTTTTAAATTGCACCTTCTATATGCATTACGTTATAAACAGTAGGCCAGCTGTGAAGCATGTGATATTTCAGTTTTTCTTTTTTAATAAATCTGCAAAAATGTCAACAATTCTGTGTTTTTCTGTCAATATGGGGTGTTGTGTGTACATTAATGAGGGAAAAAAATTAACTGAAATGATTTTAGCAAATGGCTGCAATATAACAAAGACTGAAAAATTTAAGGGGGTCTGAATACTTTCCGTACCCACTGTATATTGCACTAAAGCATACAATTGTTTAAAACAGGATTGAAAGAAAATATTTAGAAATGCTTATAATGCATGCACCGTTACTGGTGGTGTATGAAAGTCATACACAATATTAATTGCTTAAAGTGATATATGGTGCTGACTTCTACTTTTGCATATGATTTTCATAGATCACAAAATAAATAAGAGTGCTCTGAAATCTATATGAAAATGTATTTTAAATATTTTGAATGCAAGGTCAGTATGTCAAGATATGTCCATTTAGGACATGGCATTTTTATATCACTGTACATGCAGTTTTCATGACCTCATATTAATTTATATTTGTACAAATTATAAAATAATCAACATATTAAAGTATTTGTTATACAAAAGACCCAGATAGACACAGATGGATGGATGGATGGATAGATAGATAGATGGATAGATAGATAGATAGATGAAACTTGTTGACTCTTGACTTTAAAGCCAACTTAAAAGTAGAGGAATATTGTTATGTATTCTACCCTACTCACACTTACTCTTTTGTGAATGAAATTATCTATAGAGTCAGATTCAGAAACAGGACTTTGCATTGACTCTCTCTGATGACTTAATCTCGAGAGAGCTCATGTCTTTCCTAATCCAGTGAGTGGAGGATTTCAGCACCACGCCTCTCTGGACAGCTCCTATAACGGCACCTGTCTGTCTCTCACAGTGGAAGTGTGTCTCTGGAATACCAGCCCAAAGATTCCTCAAACAAGCTTCCCATTTCTTCTGTGAGCCATGGCTGGGAGAAGACTCCTTCCCCAGGACGATGACCAGGGTTCCCTGCTGTCCAGACTGGGCACCGAGAGCCCTAAACCCCGGGTGAAGTTCGGAGGGATGTTCTGCAACATCGAAGGAGCTTTTGAGAATAAAACCTTGAATTTTGAGTCGTACAGCCCCAGTTCTGCCAGGAGAAACCTTCGGGGACGAGTGGACGATCAGAGGGACAATTTCAGCGACACGTCGAGCATGAGTGATTTCAGCAGCGTGAGTCAAACGACTCCGAGCCGAACGCAGCCCACCCCGTCCTGCAGTTCACAGGGTCAGACCCTCGTTTACCCCACCGGACCCGATCGAGCGCACAACGGGCGACGAGAGGTAATCACTCCCGTTTCAACTATCCCTGTGTTATTGTGTCTATCATAAGCGCTCACTACAGTTTAAATTATACTAACTTGGTAGCTGTTTAATTCCGGTTTGCATCGTGTTTGTGTCAAAGTTGTATATATATATATATATATATATATATAAAATAAATAAATAAAAAAATCAAGTGAAACTTCACAGGAGACATGCTAATTGTGTATATAGATACGCGCATATACATACATACAGTAATGTATATGTGAGTGTATGTAGCCTATATATGTTTGCATATATATGCACAATATTATTCAAATTTCAAAAGTAAAACTTTTTAACAATTTCGCTATTAGTAAAAATAAATAATCATTTGATGGCGTCTAATACAGTTATTTTAACCAGTCGGGCTTGCATTCAAAATGACATTTGATAATGATTATAAATTCAAAAATAGCTAATGTCGTTATTTGGAATATTTTATTTATTATTTTCCTAATGTAGTGGATAGATATATTAATGGGCATAATTATTATTTTGTTTTATTCTAAAAAGAAACCATATGGTTTTTTTTCTTTGTTACGTAATCGTGTTTCTTGATGTTTGTACATTACAATAAAAATCAAAATAAATGTACCCTATTACACTAAAAAATGCTCGTAAATTTCACAAATAATTACAAAGAAACGGAAGGTAATACATTGAAGTAAACGTGAAGATTTCGAATTAAAATTCGTGTAAAACGTAGTACAAAAAAATCTTATAGTTTATTTACAACTTATTTTTTTTTCCTAATCATACTTTATTGTAACTCTGGTAAAGTGAACGATTCTAAACTCTTGTCGTTCCCCACCTAAAAACTACTACTACTTTTTTTAAAATATTAAAAATATATGATTTTGCAGCACTGGACTCTTCAGAGAATAAACTACTCTATTACTTACTAGTTTGTTATTAAATGAGTTAATTTGTGGAAGTACAAAAGCTTTGTAAGAAATGTGTGCGTACAGAGGCTGGACCTAGAGTTCCTCTGTGGGTTCCGCCTCGCCCTGAGTGCAGAATGGGGTGTGAATACTAAAGCAGCAGATGGTGAGCAGACACAGACAGAGGGTGGGGGCTCTGGAGGGCTTTTGTCTCCTGTGACTATTGAACCCCGGTAATCTGAAACTAAATTACACCCCGAATCCCGACACCCGTCCACGCGCCCGGTCGCTGCGCCCTTATTCTGACGTGAGCGCAGATCCCATCATCATCATCATCATCACCATCCCGACTCGCGTTCTCGGAAATCAAAGCTGCTCCCAGACCCGTGCCATGTCTTTCCAAGGCAAGAAGAACAACCCTCGCGTGACGGTAAGAAATGTTAGCGATTAAAACCCGAGGCCACCGGTGAATGTGTGCTAGCTGCATTAACGGAGAGACAATGATGTTAAGAAGGAGGAGGATGGTTGTATTGTGCAGTCAAGGGTGAGCCTCCTCCACCGCCGGCAACAACCTGCTGTCCTCCAAACACTGCTGAGAAAGCCGGTGGACATTTAAGAGCTGCACTAATGCATGCAATGATGTGACAAACGTGGATAAAAACGCTGCTTCAGTGATAATGTGTTCATGGTCGTAGCCAGGGTTTGAAAATTAGTGAGGTCTGGGGTGGGGTTAAGTGCTATAATAATAACCCTGTGCCGGTGTGGCCCTGACCAATTTGGTGCCCTAGGCAAGATTTTAGCTGGTGCCCCTTGCATCGCAGCCAATTCCACAACCGATCATTCACACAGAAACTGCATAGCTTTATGACAAAAATATACTGATATTAACTCAGCTAGCTTTAAATGAGAGAACTTTATCGACCAAAGGCAGCTACAATACTAACATTTAAATCAGAATTTCTTCATTTCAGACATTCATAAATGTAGGGATGCACTGATCTTAACTTTTCATGGCAGAATCCAGTACTGGTTTTTAATGTGATTTATTTAAGCAAAAGACAAGAAAGAATGAAAACATGAGTGCATGAAGAATATGGTTAGTTGCTTTATAAGCATACATTTTGATCTAAATTAGACTGTATAATTTCAAAACCTGAAGCAAAAACAGAATGGTCTGACTCTAGCTTTGTGAAATTAGGCTACACAAAACATACCAAACAGCAGATGGGGCTGAATGAAAATGCAAATTCACTCTCTGTCAGCAGGTGGCGCTTAATGAACAGCAGTGGTGCATTGTTTCCTTGATTACCGCTCTAAACACAATGCATACTGAGGCAAGATGAAAGAAAAATGCCATCGAAAGTTTTTTTGTAGGACAGTCCGTTCCCCTCAGAGATGCGCATTGTGAACAGTGAGCTTGCTCTGCCTGCTAATGTATTTGAAGAGTTCAGATGCAAAAGCCTATAAGTGCCGTCAAAATTTTCATCTAAAATTAGCATTTTTATCAGGCTCCTATGTGTTTAGGTTCAGTAATTTTATTTTAATGGCAATGTATAGGTCATTTTCTATGCCATTAAAGTGAAAAAACGGTTATGTGTTTAATTTGTCATTGCGGCGGCTTGTTCCCGGTTTCTCGTGTCCATTGTGTCTTTCATTCGTTCATGTCGGCTCATTCCTGTACTGGTCGGTCTGACATCTTCGTGAAAATGAAATATGCATTTTGGCTTTATAATACAGTCACTGCACCATTTACGCACATTGCACAAAATGTCAGAATTTAACATTTATAAAACATATATTATTTATATATATATATATATATTTGAATACGTTTCCCAGATTCCATCTCTGTAGCATCTCTCTAGCTAGTTGGTATAGCTGCTAGCTACTGTAAACTTACTGTTACTGTTATTTGCTGTATAATATGCTAGTACAATGAAAGGCCACAATGACTTTTAAATTGGCCTCCAGCAGCTGTGGTCAATAATTACAGAAGATAGAGCACATTACACACACAAGCACAAACCACACCAGCATATACAGTACATGTAACAGTAACACGTGTACTTTTTAACAATTTTGCTGTTAGTAAAAAATTAACCCTTTGATGCACACTTTCTACTACAGTTATTTTAACCATTAACATTATTTATTTATTAATTCTTTTTTTGTTATGTAGTTATTCTTAGATCAGTGGGTTAAGTTTACCATATTACTTTGCCATAGTTACTGTATTGTGGTAAAGTGAATGGGTAAATTCACTCTTTCACAGTTTCCCACTGATCATAACTGTGACCAAGAATAAAATATAATCTTTTACACTCTTATTTTATTTATTTATTTATTTTTTTGATGTTTTACATCATTTCATTAATTAATTGCTTTTTGAATATTTTACCATGAATGTTAGGAATCGCCTTGTTACACATAATAAAATAGTTTGAGTAAGTAAGTTAATAAATATTTTGTACTAATATAGTATATACTCATTTATACTAAAATCCCTTTTAAACTTTTTTTTTTTTTTTTACAGTAAAATTACATGTATTGTCCTAAAATATAAGGTACGTTAAAGACAATTAACAGGTTTTCATTGTAGCATTTTTACAGTCTTTTCTTCAAAGTGTTAAAATACTTTTTTTTACTATGTGGAGCAGTCAATATGGTGTACATTTCCTAATAATTTTTCTAAAAACAGTTTTATATTTAAAACAAAGATTATTATTTATATGTGCATGATCATGTCAGGTTCCAGTAACAAAAAGGATGTGGTATTATAGTGTATGCTTTACCAATAACCATGACCCAAAGACAGTAAAAGGGTTAATAAGCGAGGATCCATGTGCACTGCAGGAGCGAGAAAACCCAGGAAAGAGTGATGTTAACATGGCCAAATTGGATCCAGTTCCCTTCCACACAATTTGGCATTGCAGCGTGACCACTAGAGTTCCCTGTCTGACCCACATTCAGAGCACAGAAACACACATACTCCGCATTAAGTTAATTTGGAAACATCTGCATTAAAAAAAAAATCATAAAGTGATGCAAATGACTGAGAATAACTGCATATTAATTCATGCAGTGTTTAATAATATACTCCTATAATTCATTACTAAAGGCTCTGGATATTCAGTACTATAAGGTGAAGGGTCGTCCTGCATCCCAGACCCCTCGCTGTCTTTCTCGTCTCTCCTCAAGCAACATTGTGGCCCAGAATCGGAAATGCTAGGCAGGGATTTTGGCCGTGCCAACGATGGGCCGCCTGTGGAAGTGTCAGATTGCATTAAAGTGAAGCTCTGTGGGTTGCACACCACCTCGGCCGGCACAGTGAATGTGGTGAAATACCCTTTAGCAGAATTCTAGAGATGTTTATTTCGTTTCTTTCTTTAACCATGCCTGTTTGGACTTTCACCTTGTGAGAGTTAGGTTTTGCGCCATGAGTTGAGGTTGGCACTGTCTAACAGCACCGTGAATGATGTCTCATGCCTGGGTGACCTAACAAGCCCAGTTGCCTGGCATAGATCCATGCCAGGGATAACTGAACAAGCATTGGTCTCCTGTAGCTGGGATTGTGATTTGGACTCATCAGAAATGGTGCAAAAACGGCCAGTGAAAAATGTCAGTCACTATGCATTGATGCAAAACAACAGTCATGCATGAATAATAAAGTAAATAGAAAAGTGTTGTTACAGATGAGTGGAGTTGCCTGTTATCTTTCTTTTGTATTCTCTGTCTGGATTTTGAATGATATAATCTCTCTGATTAGCTTCTTAAAGAGCGCTGCATATTGCATAGGAGGATTTGCATGCATTATACAGCTCTTTGTGCTTTGAAATGACTGTATATCTACATCCAAAGCTCTTTGGAACTGCAGGTCAGCATGGTTTCAGTGAAATTCAAAGCATTTTAGTTCAATATAATGATCTTTGGGGTATCTTAAAATTTGTATTGATTTATTATTCTGGCATGCAGGCAGATTGGTGAGAACCTCATTGTACCCACCGGCGTGAAGACGGTGGATGCCTATGGGCACATTGTGATCCCGGGAGGCATCGATGTGAACACGTGTCTACAGGCCCCTCACCTGGGCATGACCCCGGCAGACGACTTCTATCATGGCACCAGAGCTGCTCTGACGGGAGGAACCACCATGATCAGTATGACATTACATCGACATCTTATAAAGACAGAGGAGAAGAGAGCAGAAGCTCAGTAGTTGTCAGATCATTAAACTCAGAATGGCTTTCTAGTGGAACAGAAAGGAGGGTCTCTGCTAAAGTGTGTGTGTGTGTGTGTGTTGTACAGTATTAGGGCATAAGAGCTTGTCAGGTCTCATAAAATCAGTTGAATTGGGGACACAGCGCTGTCACTGTCTGTTCTCTTCTGCTCAACTTTCCTCAGAATCCCTTTTAAACTTTTTTTTTTTATTTTACAGTAAAATTACATGTATTGTCCTAAAATATAAGGTACGTTAAAGACAATTAACAGGTTTTCATTGTAGCATTTTTACAGTCTTTTCTTCAAAGTGTTAAAATACTTTTTTTTACTATGTGGAGCAGTCAATATGGTGTACATTTCCTAATAATTTTTCTAAAAACAGTTTTATATTTAAAACAAAGATTATTATTTATATGTGCATGATCATGTCAGGTTCCAGTAACAAAAAGGATGTGGTATTATAGTGTATGCTTTACCAATAACCATGACCCAAAGACAGTAAAAGGGTTAATAAGCGAGGATCCATGTGCACTGCAGGAGCGAGAAAACCCAGGAAAGAGTGATGTTAACATGGCCAAATTGGATCCAGTTCCCTTCCACACAATTTGGCATTGCAGCGTGACCACTAGAGTTCCCTGTCTGACCCACATTCAGAGCACAGAAACACACATACTCCGCATTAAGTTAATTTGGAAACATCTGCATTAAAAAAAAAATCATAAAGTGATGCAAATGACTGAGAATAACTGCATATTAATTCATGCAGTGTTTAATAATATACTCCTATAATTCATTACTAAAGGCTCTGGATATTCAGTACTATAAGGTGAAGGGTCGTCCTGCATCCCAGACCCCTCGCTGTCTTTCTCGTCTCTCCTCAAGCAACATTGTGGCCCAGAATCGGAAATGCTAGGCAGGGATTTTGGCCGTGCCAACGATGGGCCGCCTGTGGAAGTGTCAGATTGCATTAAAGTGAAGCTCTGTGGGTTGCACACCACCTCGGCCGGCACAGTGAATGTGGTGAAATACCCTTTAGCAGAATTCTAGAGATGTTTATTTCGTTTCTTTCTTTAACCATGCCTGTTTGGACTTTCACCTTGTGAGAGTTAGGTTTTGCGCCATGAGTTGAGGTTGGCACTGTCTAACAGCACCGTGAATGATGTCTCATGCCTGGGTGACCTAACAAGCCCAGTTGCCTGGCATAGATCCATGCCAGGGATAACTGAACAAGCATTGGTCTCCTGTAGCTGGGATTGTGATTTGGACTCATCAGAAATGGTGCAAAAACGGCCAGTGAAAAATGTCAGTCACTATGCATTGATGCAAAACAACAGTCATGCATGAATAATAAAGTAAATAGAAAAGTGTTGTTACAGATGAGTGGAGTTGCCTGTTATCTTTCTTTTGTATTCTCTGTCTGGATTTTGAATGATATAATCTCTCTGATTAGCTTCTTAAAGAGCGCTGCATATTGCATAGGAGGATTTGCATGCATTATACAGCTCTTTGTGCTTTGAAATGACTGTATATCTACATCCAAAGCTCTTTGGAACTGCAGGTCAGCATGGTTTCAGTGAAATTCAAAGCATTTTAGTTCAATATAATGATCTTTGGGGTATCTTAAAACTGAATATCAACTTCTTGGTGTCAGTGACGCCAAACCTGTATTAAAAAGTAAGAATATGTGCATATGCAAATGTATGTAGAAATGATAACAGTATATTCATTTGTAATTGAATGATAAAAAAGTTTAAAGTTGCATCACTTACAACTTAAAATAACATGCTGTACTAAAGTCATGTTGTATGTCTTTTCTTTTTTTTCTCCACAGAGTGATAAACTCATTATTAAAGGTGGGAAAATCGTAAATGATGACCAGTCATTTTATGCCGACATTTACATTGAAGATGGAACCATTAAGTAAGATTTCATTATTTCAAAAATCTGCATTAGCCATTCAAACATTTAAAAACATTCTAAACTTTACATTGAAAAATAGCTTATATTTATTTGTAATTAGCATTATATTATATTATATTCAGGGTTGTCAGGTCTGCATAATGACCTTAGCCTAAATATCAAAACTCAAAACATGCTACTCGCATACCTAAAATACATATTTTACAGTTACATTTATGCGTTATTCACAATTTCAACGTGGACATTATTATACAGTAGTTATAATAACCACAGACTTTTTTCATTAAGGCTCCCCTCAGGTTTCTCATTGGTAGAATCTAAAATATTTCAATACATGCATTTCAGTCAAATATAATTTATGCAATATGTCAAACCATCAACACGTGGGGAAAAAAATCCCCACAGCATCAGTTTAAAAGTAGCTCAAGACTTGGCAACCCTGATTCTATTATATATATTGTACATTTCATTTAGCAGATTCTTTTATCCGAAGCGAATTGATGAGGGATAGCACAAGCAATTTGTATTGATTTATTATTCTGGCATGCAGGCAGATTGGTGAGAACCTCATTGTACCCACCGGCGTGAAGACGGTGGATGCCTATGGGCACATTGTGATCCCGGGAGGCATCGATGTGAACACGTGTCTACAGGCCCCTCACCTGGGCATGACCCCGGCAGACGACTTCTATCATGGCACCAGAGCTGCTCTGACGGGAGGAACCACCATGATCAGTATGACATTACATCGACATCTTATAAGGACAGAGGAGAAGAGAGCAGAAGACTTACAGTAGTTATCAGATCATTAAACTCAGAATGGATTTCTAGCGGAACAGAAAGGAGGGTCTCTGCTAAAGTGTGTGTGTGTGTTGTACAGTATTAGGGCATAAGAGCTTGTCAGGTCTCATAAAATCAGTTGAATTGGGGACACAGCGCTGTCACTGTCTGTTCTCTTCTCTTCTGCTCAACTTTCCTCAGATAAGCCACTCAGCTGCTAGAGTCATTTAGGACACAGAAATCATTGTGATTAAAAGGTCTTAAACAAATGAAGGCCATAAAAAGGTCTTAAATCTGAGCAGATCATGGCATTATATGTTGCACGCATTGCTAAAAATTAATATCCTCCTCAATATTTTTGTCTTGTTTTCCATTACAAATATCGAAGCATCCTTAAATCAAGATACATTTTCTTGAGATGCAAAATGAAGATGAAATGCATTTTTCATCGTCATGCTCTGCTCATCTTTTAGTTGACCATGTTGTGCCTGAACTGGGAACTAGTTTACTGGCAGCGTATGACCAGTGGAGGGATACGGCGGACAAGAGGTCGTGCTGTGATTACTCTCTGCACATTGACATCACTCGCTGGCATGATGGGCTGTTTGAGGAGCTGGAGTATCTGGTCAAAGATAAAGGTGATGTGAGATTTCAGGTGTGACTTTGATATTTTTGCTTTCTGCGTATATCGTGTTTCTTTTTAACTAAATAAAAACACATTCTGCATTCAGCTCCAAAAAGATAAATGACATTATAAAAACACAATTTCTCTTTTTAGGGGTCAACTCCTTCCTGATCTTCATGGCTTATAAGGACAAGTATCAGAGCTCTGATACACAGGTATATAAAATAATACAAAATAACGTTTACACTACAGTTCAAAAGTATGAGGTCTGTTAGATTGTTTTTAAGGCTCACCAAGGCTGCATTTATTTGATCAAAAATTCGGTAAAAACCGTAATATTGTGAAATATTATTACAATTGAATATCTTTTAAAATGTTATTTATTCCTGTGACGCAAAGCTGAATTTTCAGCATCATTACTCCAGTCTTCAGTGTCACACGATCCTTCAGAAATCATGAAAATATGCTGATTTGCTCCTAAAGATTTTTTTCAGGATTCTTGGATGAATAGAACGTAAAAAAAAAAAACTGAATTTAAAATAGAAATCCTTTGTGACAGTACAAATGTTTGACTTTGATCAATTTAGTGCATCCTTGAGGAATAATAAAAATATTAATTTCTTAAAAAAAATCTTACTGACCCCAAACTTTTGACCACTTAGCAATGTAGGTTTATAGATCCTGTTTCCAAGAACTAACACTCTCTGTGTCTGTAGATCTATGAGATGTTTAGTGCCATGAGGGAACTGGGTGCCATCGCACAGGTGCATGCTGAAAACGGTGACATCATTGAGGAGGTTGTTACCATTAATCTACATTACTTCAATTGTTAATGCATTTCAGCTATATTATTTTACAAAATGTACCAGTTTATTTCCTTTCTCCATACTTAAATGCATTCTTGTGTTTGTTTGTAACCTCAGGAACAGAAGAAGCTTTTGGATCTGGGAATCACTGGCCCAGAAGGACACGTCCTGAGCCACCCGGAGGAGGTTTGTCTTAATGGTTCGGGTCTGTTTAATTCAAAATCTGTTCTACCGCTGGTAAACATCAGCATTACTTCTGCTGTTCTTCTCTAGGTGGAGACTGAGGCTGTGTATCGAGCCGTCACCATTGCTAAACAGGCCAACTGCCCTCTCTATATCACAAAGGTGATGAGCAAACCAGCTGCTGATGTCATCGCCAAGGCCAGGAAAAAGGGTACGAGAGTTGATAGAGCTCTACAAGACTGTAACAGAAGCACAAAGGCTCAAATGTTTGTGTCATGTGCATGGATTCATTTTCAGGCATGGTCATCTATGGAGAACCAATCGCAGCCGGCCTGGGCACGGACGGATCGCACTACTGGAGCAAAAACTGGGCCAAAGCTGCTGCATTTGTCATGTCTCCTCCTCTCAGCTCCGACACGAGCACTCCGGATTATCTCAGCTCACTGCTGTCCTGGTGAGCAGCTCAAATCAGGCCAAACACCAGCTTTTCACTTAAATTTTCAGCAGCATATGCTACAGATTGGGGATGGTACAATTGTTTTAATGTGAAAGAAGTCTCTTATGCTTAGCAAGGCTGCAATTATTTGATCAAACATACAGAAAACAGACAGTAATAATGTAAAATGTTTTCAAATGCAATTTATTCCTGTAATGCAAAGCTGAATTTTCAGCATCATTACTTCAGTCTTCAGTGCCACATGATCCTTCAGAAATCAATCTAATTACATGCTGAGTTGCTGCTCTTATTACTATTATTCTTATTATTATCAGTGTTGAAACGTTTTGCTGCTTCATATTTTTGTGGAACCATTATATATATTTTTTTCAGGATTCTTTTTTGAATAGAAAGTTCAAAAGAACAGCGTGTATTTGAAATCTAAATCTTTTGTAACATTCATATACATTGTCATATAAATGACACTCAAATATATGACACTGTGTGTGTATGTGTGTGTACAAACAAATATTATAGTATAATAATTAAATATGAGATATATATATAGAGAGAGAGAGAGAGAGATTAATTGCACTCTTTTTAAATATTTTGAAGTTGAAGATTAAAGGCCAGATTTACTAACAGCTTGCATCAGCACAAATCCTTTTTTTTGGAGTTAAAAAACTACTGTCAGGATTTACTAAAGACACAAAAAATAGCTGACCTTTTTGCATATGCATTTGTAGGCGTTTCCATTTCACATGCTAAATTTAAAGTACTTAATGAATCATGCAAGGTGATTTACTAAGGTTTGGTGGTCAGTTTACTGGTGTTTGCATCATTTTTTAACACTCAAAAAAAATCATTTCTTAACTTATTTTGCCCCTGTGTTGTCAGTAAATCACACACTGCTGATTATCTTTAGCTCTGCTAGTTTGCGGCCCTACACTAATTTGCGTTGCTCTTGTTAGATTGCATTGGTCTTAATGGAAATGATCTTACTACATCGGTGTTCTTTAATTTGCACATTGACAGTAGAACTGCGCTTTTTAAGGATTGCGGCCTGATTTGCTCTGCTCTGCTTAGTAAATCTGGCCCTTAGTCTTCAGAAAGCATTATACTTACTGACTGTCATGAACTGTTTCAGTGGGGATCTTCAGGTGACGGCCAGCGCTCACTGCACCTTCACCACGGCACAGAAAGCTGTTGGAAAGGACAACTTCACCCTCATTCCGGAGGGGACCAACGGCATCGAGGAGCGTATGAGCATCGTCTGGGACAAAGCTGTGGTAGGCCTCACAATACAGTCTCTCTTTCTCAACTAAATAAAAAAATTATGCATGTAAGATTTAAAAAAAATATTATATACTTCAACACTGCAAACCACACTGCAGCTTTAAGTTTGCATTTTTTGTGATATTTGGATCCTCTATTAGCCATTATGTCATGAATTCCCAGGTCAGAGTTCAAACATGAACAGCAAAAGAACAACTTCCATTCGTATGTGACAGTGCATTGTCTTATTCGCAGTTTCCAATAATGTTTTTGTCACATAGGCAACTGGTAAAATGGACGAGAATGATTATGTTGCAGTAACGAGCACAAATGCTGCAAAAATCTTCAACCTGTATCCTCGGAAAGGCCGAATCGCTGTAGGATCGGATGCTGACATTGTCATCTGGAACACCAAGGAGACAAAAACCTTTTCTGCCAAAACTCACAATCTGGTATGAGAATTGCAAAAAAAAGATAACCTATTAACAATGGTATTTTTATTCATCCCACATCACTGGACTTACCTAACTATTGGTTTAGAGTGGAAACAGTTCTAGTCTTCTACAGCTGGATTCTGTCTAAACTCTGTGAAATGTAAAACTCATTATTCTGATCTATGTTTCGCCGCAGACAGTGGAGGTGAATATCTTTGAGGGAATGGAGTGCCGAGGTTTCCCTGTGGCGGTCATCAGTCAGGGCAGGATCGTTCTAGAGGACGGGAAACTCAATGTGACAGAGGGTTCCGGCCGCTTCATCCCCAGGAAAGCCTATCCGGACTTCGTCTACAAGAGAATCAAGGCCCGAGGCAAGGTAAGAATGTCTTTGTGATTTATGAGTGTTGACTTACTCAGCACAGTTAAATAACAGATTGAAATCCCTCACAGACTTTTCAAGTTTAAAAAGACTCAAGACATACATTTTTATTTTATTTTTTTTTTGCAGATGGCTGATACTCGTGGTGTTCCTAGAGGAAACTATGATGGCCCCGTTCATGATGTCATCAGTATGACCAAATCTGTGCCTGCCACTCCCACCACTAGAGGGCCCTCATGTCCAGGAAAGACCCCAGGGGGACCAGCTAGAAATCTGCACCAATCCGGGTTCACTTTATCTGGTAAGCACCTTTGATTTTGATGTATCTGTTGTAGTATAAAACAGTAGGGTTCTAGAAGTAAATATACCATTTGTTTCCATTTGTATTTTTTTATAATAATACTATGCATTTATTTACTTTTTACTGTACTGTTTAACTGAATCTACATACAGTATAAGCCTATACAGTTTGGACTAAATGATAATAAAGTAAAAAAAAAAAATTAAAGGTGGGGTGAGCGATTTTTCAAAAACGCTTTAGAAAACTGATTCGGGCCGAGTAGCAAAACAAACTTGTAGCCAATCAGCAGTAAGGGGCGTGTCTACTCATGATGTGGAGGAGAGCGCGCTTAGTGCACAGGACGGACATCAGCTGAGCCGAGCGACAGAAAGATAGAGATAGCAGATAAAAAACAAAAGAGGAAAACATCTGCAGAACAAAAGCAGGCTTAAGGCAATACGGCAAGAAGTAGGACCCATGTAAATATCGAATCAGTGTTCCAGCGCTGGAGAGAACTCAAGGAGCGGAAGGCCTGCGATCGAAATAATACTATGCATTTATTTACTTTTTACTGTACTGTTTAACTGAATCTACATACAGTATAAGCCTATACAGTTTGGACTAAATGATAATAAAGTAAAAAAAAAAAATTAAAGGTGGGGTGAGCGATTTTTCAAAAACGCTTTAGAAAACTGATTCGGGCCGAGTAGCAAAACAAACTTGTAGCCAATCAGCAGTAAGGGGCGTGTCTACTCATGATGTGGAGGAGAGAGCGTTCAGAGCACAGGACGGACATTAGCTGAGCCGAGCGACCGAAAGATAGAGATGGCAGATAAAAAACAAAAGAGGAAAACGTCTGCAGAACAAAAGCAGGCTTAAGGCAATACGGCAAGAAGTAGGACCCATGTAAATATCGAATCAGTGTTCCAGCGCTGGAGAGAACTCAAGGAGCGGAAGGCCTGCGATCGAACGCCGAGGTTGCTTTGTTTCTTCTTGATAACACCGTGTCTGCGCCGCATCCAGTGTAGACCATAGATGTAGACAGCATCACTGATTATAATGAGTTCTATAGTATTTTGTCGTGCTGCGCCACTCGCGTCCGGTGTAGACTCGGTGTAACATTGGTTTTGCTTTGTTTCACAGAACTAATCGTTGCCTGGGTTGCGTACGTATGTGTGGGGTGGAGCTATCACAATAGATGTGAGACCCTTTTGGGGTAGGGGCGTGCTTGTTTTGGTGATTTCAAATGTCAACATTGGCTACCAGAAATCACTTACCCCACCTTTAATACTTTAAGATCTTTATAATATTTCTTGATCACTGAATCAACATATTCGAACTTGTGAAGGATCATGTGAAATATTAAAATATAATGAAAAGTTAAATTGTAAATATTTCACGATATTACTGTTGTTACTGTATTTTTGATCAAATCAATGCAGCCTTGATTAACGTAAAAGACTTCTTTAAAAAACATAAAAAAATGTTTGCCAACCTCAAACGTTTGATCGGTATATTTATATAATTAACAATGTTTACTTTTAACTATTTAATTTGCTATATTAACATGCTATGTTTAAGTATTTCAAATGAAGCACCTTGTGAATGTGACTGGTACTTAAATCACAATACAAAAATATATTTAAAAATTATGATGAGATCATAAGAAAATGTAATTTTAATCATGAGAATCTCTTGTTGTGATCATGAAAAAAAATTGTTTCATAAAAAATGGCTTTGAAAATGCAAATCACTTTGAAAGCTCTCAATGGCCAATGCACTTAAAATATGTTGTAATACATCAAATGTAATAGTCAATTGTTTTATTGTACAATCATTTTTTATTCATTTACACCATCCACAGCACATTTGATCTTTGACCTTGTTGGTTTGGTTCATGGCTTTGAACTGCTATATTAACATGCTATGTTTAAGTATTTCAAATGAAGCACCTTGTGAATGTGACTGGTACTTAAATCACAATACAAAAATATATTTAAAAATTATGATGAGATCATAAGAAAATGTAATTTTAATCATGAGAATCTCTTGTTGTGATCATGAAAAAAAATTGTTTCATAAAAAATGGCTTTGAAAATGCAAATCACTTTGAAAGCTCTCAATGGCCAATGCACTTAAAATATGTTGTAATACATCAAATGTAATAGTCAATTGTTTTATTGTACAATCATTTTTGATTCATTTACACCATCCACAGCACATTTGATCTTTGACCTTGTTGGTTTGGTTCATGGCTTTGAACTTTCATGTATATATATATATATATATATAATATATATATATATATATATATATATATATATATAAATCTTTATAGAGAAAAATAATGAGTAAAATACATCCAGAACAATGCTGCTGAAAAGTAGTGCTATGTGTAATCTGAGTCTCTTTTCATTTGGAGCTCAAGCAGACGTGCTTTCATTACAGTGAGTCAACATTGATAATACATTTTTCTTGAGCAGCAAATTAGCATATTAGAATGATTTCTGAAGGATCGTGTGACTTAAAGACTGGAGTAATGATGCTGAATATTCTGCTTTGGTCACAGGAATTTACATTTCTTAAAAAATATTCAAATAGAAAAAAATTAAAGCGTAAATGTTTCACAATATGAGTGTCTTACAGTATTGTTTTGATAAAAAAATAAATAAATGCAGTCTTGGTGACTTCAAAAACATAAAAAAAATTTTTTCTGCTTTGGTCACAGGAATTTACATTTCTTAAAAAATATTCAAATAGAAAAAAATTAAAGCGTAAATGTTTCACAATATGAGTGTCTTACAGTATTGTTTTGATAAATAAATAAATGCAGTCTTGGTGACTTCAAAAACATAAAAAAATTTTACTCAAACTTTTGAATGGTAGCGTTCTAACTTTCATATGTTCTTTCCACATCACATTCAGAACTCAAAACACAACCCAAAATCACAATTTATAGAAACTAATCTTAATAAAACAGCAGTAATATTCTGGAATATTACCATTTAAAATAACTCTTTTCTTTTTTGGATGTATTTTAAAAGGTGTTCCTATGATGCAACGCTGAATTTTCAGCATCATTACTCCGTGTCACATGATCCTTCAGAAATCATTCTAATATGCTGTTTTGATGCTAAAGAAACATTTCTGATTATTATCAATACTGAAAAGTTGTGCTGCTTAATAGTTTTGTGGAAACTGATACTTTTTTTTTTTTTTTTTACGTCACTTTGGATCGATTTAATGCATCCTGGCTGAATAAAGATATTAATTTCCTTGGGGAAAATACAGTAGTGTATCGAGACTTGCTAAAAGGATAGTTCACCCAAAAAATGAAAAAATAAATAAATAGATAAATAAATAAAAATCAAAGTCAATGGCTACCGTCGACTGCTTGGTTACCCACGTTCTTCAAAATATCTTCTTTTGTGTTCAGCATAAGAATTTACATACACAGGTTTGGAGGTCTGGGTGAGTAAATAAGCACAAAATAGTTATTTTTGGGTGAACTAAAAAGGGGGGGGGGGGGGGGTTTACACCAATTTTGAACACACAATTTTAGTCTAAATTTTTTGTTTTTTATTAATTTTTTTTAATAGTTTAATCATTTGTTTTAAATATATAAAAAAAAATATATTACATTTTTAATTAAATTTAATTTCAAATCAATTTAATGCATGTAATATCTAAATATTTAACCAAAGGAATATGAAGTTTCTTTCAGTCGAAACTATTAAAATAATAGAAAATATACTTGATTTGTTTCTCTACTTTCAAAAGTGCAATATCATCAGCGCTCATGGCCTCTTCTTTTGAATTAATATCTAAAAATTAGATATTGTTGAGCTAATTTTTAAATATTTAACTAAAGGAATTTGTTAATGAGTTTGTTTTTTATTTCATTTAATTTCATTTCATTTCACAAAGGATGCATAAAGACCAGGAAAAAAACAGATACATGTCAAAAGTCTGGATCTGTTATACTAGGAGTACAGCGATTAGGAACCAACCTTAATATATAATAATAAAAAATTAAAATAAAAATAAAAACTGATGGCTTTCTGAGCACAACAGTAGATTTTGCTCTTACTGTATGTGACAGTGGTCTGCATCTTCTCCCACACGCTGAACTTGAGCGAGCCGATGTGTTTGGCCACATCGATCAAAGCTCCGGAGATTTCCACCGGATCCTGAACGCTGCAGTCCATCCTGCGACAGAAACAGAGAAGCTTCATCAAAAACTGTGAGGTTCATCTGAAACTGACAATGAGCCTCGATCAACAAACTCAACTCACATTAATGTTACAAGCCATTTTACTTTTTATTTACTAAATAGTCTTGTGGCTGCAGGCTGCTAAACCAATAACCCTGCCTGGGTTTATTTTGCTCATAAAAGCATGAATGAATAAATGTATGAACGAACAAATAAATAAATATTTTTAGTAACTTTCATTTCGTGTAATTTCCATATCACTATGAATAAATAGTGAAACATTCAGAACTCAAAGCGCAGCCCAAAATCACAATTTATAGAAACTAATCTTTAGAAAAAAAACAGCAATAATATTCTTCAGAAAAATGACTACCATTTAAAATAATAAATAAATAATCATTTTCAGCATCATTACTCCAGTCTTCCAGTCCAGTGTCACATGATACTTCAGAAATGATTCTAAAATGCTGATTTGATGCTCAAGATTATTATCAATATTGAAAAGTATTGATTGTGCAAATATGGATTATTATCAATATTTGCGCAAGAATGAATGGATGAATGAATGAATAAATATTTTTACCGTTCTGATTTCTTCTTGTAGTTCTGTAACAGAAAGATCAGAGAATTTTCAGAAAATGTGCTGCTCCAGTTTCTCTTAAACAGACCAAATTGATATGCATGCAATATATATTTAACCAAAGTAATATGATTTTTCTTTCAATCTATACTATTAAAATAATAGAAAATACTCTTGATTTATTTCCCTACCTTCAGAAATGCCATATCATCAGCGCTCATGGCCTCTTCTGTTGAACTAATGGCTTCTCTTAAGGTCATGATCTCATCTGTTAGTTTGTCCATCTTCTCCTTCATCTTCTGGCTCTTCTGCTCCTCTTCCTCGCTCAGAGCTCTCAGCATGGAGATCTCCTCATCATGCAGGAACTGATGGAGCTTTTCAAAGTTCTCCTTTATCAGACACACGGTCTTCTGGGCCTGTCTCTGTCCGGAGGGTGGAGAGACGTTCAGAAATTACTGCCACCTTAATGTGTTTGTGCAAAATGTTTAAAAATGTATTAAGTGAGTAATAAAATAGCTAATTAGTGAAGTGCGCAGTCACATGAAAAGTATACGTGGGATACATTTTAGCCATTAAATTCACTTTAGTCTTAAACACATTCCTGTTAAAATAGGCAAAAGTACGGTGGCCGAGAAGTGCAGAACAAATCACAATTCTGAAAACAAAATAACAAATTACAAACACAAATGCAAGTCTAAAAAACAAAATAACAATTCAGAAAGCACAACAGCAATTCAGAAAACATTATAACAAGTCAGAAAACACAACGACAAATTCAAAAACAAAATAACAAGTCAGAAAACACAACGACAAATCAGACAAACCGGAAGAGGTAGGTAGTTTGAGACAGCGCCATTGGTTTGGGATTACTTCCTCCCTTTTCAAATCTCGTATTAGCAATAGATTCTATTTACACTAAGTGAAAATAGCAGTATTTTTAGCAATATGCTATTTACACTAAGTGCAAATACCTAGTTACACTATGTTAAAATAGCAGGATTTCTACTATCAAGTATACTACTTGTTGCAAATAGTGGCAATTATCTGCACTTCAGTATTGTAGTACATTATAAAACAGTATGCAATAATAACGTATTGAGTGTAAATTATAATTTAAATTATTAAATGGATGCCACCTTATTGCTACAATAAAGCCCTCCCTACACCTACCCTAACCCTACCCGATACTTTATTTTAAACTTTTTGATTATTTCCTTAATTTTTATTGAAAAGAAATGCCTTTATGATGTGATACGAGATTTGAAAAGGGAGGGAAAAAAAAGTTCGGAAAAAGGCAGGATCGAACCCGGGTCGATCGTGTTGATTGACAGATGTCTCGTCCAGTCAGCGGTGAGTAATCCCAAACCAATGGCGCTGTCTCAAACTATACCTACCTTTTCCGGTTTGTCTGATTTGTCATTGTGTTTTCTGACTTGTTCATTTGTTTTCGGATTTGTCGTTGTGTTTTCTGACTTATTTTGTTTTCGAATTTGTCATTGTGTTTTCTGACTTGTTATAATGTTTTCTGAATTGTTATTTTGTTTTTTAGACTTGCATTTGCGTTTGTAATTTGTTATTTTGTTTTCAGAATTGTGATTTGTTCTGCACTTCTCGGCCACCGTACAAAAGCCCCCAAACAGAATATCCTGTTAAAGTTGGCTTGCATTGCTCTTTTGACTCGGAGATGTTACCCTGATGTATTCTGAAGTTTCCTGGCTGGTTTGTTTGGCTGTGTTGAACATCTCCAGCTTCTCCTGCAGGGGTCTGAGAGCTGCTCTCAGCTCCCTCTGAGAACAAAGTGAATTCTTGTCAGTTCATCTGAAACTACCACTAGCATGCTATTGATATAACAGAACCAGAACTTACTGGGATTCACTCCTATAAGTTAGTGCCACTAATTATGAATTTATAATAATAATAATAATAATAAAAAAAAATCTATTTAGTCATTCTTCATGTAATCTAGTCTTTTTTGCAATCAATTATCATGGCAGCCCACATTATTACAACACTTATGTTTCAAAGCATCTAGAAAATAGAAATACCGGCCAATGCCGATAATCGCATCTACAGTGGCTGGATATTTTAATGCTGATATTTTATAAACAATCTAGTTATCACAATATTTACTCAAAATATAAACAAAAAATTTATATCGAAATATTTATCAAATATTTATTAAAACATAAATAAAAATACCACAAATACATTTTTAAAGTTTTAAATATATTTAATAACATTAACAGGACTGCCAATAAATGTTGAACATAAAACGGCACAATAATTTGAGATTACACCAAATTACATGCTTGAAAACTGAAAATGGTGAAATTTTGGATGATTTATCAGCCTATCTGATATATTGGTCTATCGCTAAAAGACATACAGTGTTATTGGCAAAAATAGAAAATGGCCAAATATTAGGCAATTTATAGTTCAATCGCTACTACATTTATTATTCATTTAGCAGAGGCTATTTGTTATAAAATTAAGAAGACTGTCATTAAACATGGTACATGAACACGGTAAAATGGTCCAATGATTTGGGATTACACTGAATTACATGCTAACCTCAAAATGGCAAAATATTAGATGAATTATCAGCCTCAAAACAGTCAAATATCAGTCTATTTATAGATCAATCTCTACTACTGTACATTTACATTTATTCATTTAGTGTGAGTGACTTACATTTGAAGAACATGCAAAAAAAGTGAAATAAAATACTTTTCACACATTATTTACTCAATTCAGTAAATAATTATAAAAGTTTAATATTAAAATATTTATCAAATATTTATATAATGTATTTGTATTTTAGAATTTAGCAAATATTTTTATATAAATATAAATAATATATAAAAATATATTAAGTTTTTTTAAACTAAAGACTTACATTTTGAACTCAAAACTAATAACTAATAATAACTTAAATGCTAAAGTATTAAGCACCTGTTTCTCACCTTACACTCTTGTGTGGCCTCTTCTATGGAGCTGCACTCGTGATCTTCATGTTCCTCGCCCTGACACTGATCACAGATCAGCTCCTCGTCCTCCATACAGTACTGAGTCGGTTTCTCTCTATGCTGTCTGCACAGATCTCCATCCTCCACCGTCTCGCCACCCTCCACGCTGCTTCCCACCTGCCGCAGCTGCCCTTCAAACAACAAAAATATATAAAAATATATTAAGTTTTTTTTAAACTAAAGACTTACATTTTGAACTCAAAACTAATAACTAATAATAACTTAAATGCTAAAGTATTATGCACCTGTTTCTCACCTTACACTCTTGTGTGGCCTCTTCTATGGAGCTGCACTCGTGATCTTCATGTTCCTCGCCCTGACACTGATCACAGATCAGCTCCTCGTCCTCCATACAGTACTGAGTCGGTTTCTCTCTATGCTGTCTGCACAGATCTCCATCCTCCACCGTCTCGCCACCCTCCACGCTGCTTCCCACCTGCCGCAGCTGCCCTTCAAACAACGAGTCGAGCAATCCCTTCAGCACGCTGTCCAACAACTCGCGGCCGTAGCACTCTGTACAGCCCGGCCCGTCCTGGCCGAGCTCTTCCTGGCACAGCTGAAGGCAAGCCTGGCACAGAGTGTGTCCGCAGGGCAGCAGGAGTGACCCTTCACCCTGGCAGCCTGGGCACAAGGAGTCGCTGGAGGGTGAAGAGTGTTTATCGTCTGACATTATGGTAGGATGTTGTCGTCTTCTAAATCAACGTCTGGTCTGCAGCTCTCTGGTTGTTACACAATCACTGCTATGCACGGGGTATCAAAGGAAATCCCCGTTTGGATAGTCGGTGGTCTATTTATAAGCGAGTTATTTTGAAATGAGCTCTCTTACTTGTTTATATGCAATGGTGTCTGTTTGGAGAGTTTTGCTTGGTGCAGATCGCAGGGGAAGAGTTTGTTGCCGAGTCACTAGACCGTGTGTGTGTGTGGTCTGGCATTAAAGTGTAAAGTGATACCACTTTCCTCAAGTGCTCTAACATCAGTCAAAACCAAATCACTTCCATCTGCACCAATGCAAAATGTCACCACACTGACAGGAGCAAAGAGTTCCTCTGTTTATCTCCTGAATCCTATTGAGATGCTGTGGCATGACCTTAAAAAGGCGGTTCATGCTCGAAAACCCTCCAATGTGGCTGAATTACAACAATTCTGCATAGATGAGTGGACCAAAATTCCTCCACAGCACTGTAACAGACTCATTGCAAGTTATCGCAAAAGCTTGATTGCAGTTGTTGCTGCTAAGGGTGCAAACACTTTTTCACACAGGGCCATGTAGTTTTGGATTTTGTTTTCCCTTAATAATAAAAACCTTAATTTGAAAACTGCATGTTGTGTTCACTTGTGTTATCTTTTACTAATATTTAAATTAGTTTGATGATCTGAAACATTAAAGTGTGACAAACATGCAAAAAAATAAGAAATCAGGAAGGGGGGCAACACTTTTTCACACCACTGTATATATAATGTACTTAGACCACTTGTACCTTATTGCTTATTTCTAAAATAATTTTTACCGTGTTAAATTTTTTATAATATTAACAAGCTCAGGCTTGATGAATCTAAGAAAACCGCATTTCTTTTTCAATTCTTCCGCCACCTGGTCATTTCATGTATTGATCAAACTAACTCAAATAAATGTAATTGAGTAATTAGTCCCAGTATTTTTTCCCCCAATAAGAAGCCTGTGGACAAATGTTTACATGTGGTTCTACATCTTTCAGAATATATGTATAGCAATATATATCCATTACAATCCCTAAATTCAACCATAAGGTCATTCCCGGAAAATACATTCCAGGAATTTTACTATAGCAATAAATGAAGACAGCTTAGCATGCAACTCTCAAATGCAAAAACAAACATACTCCGGTGTGTTTTACCCTATACTTTATTTGCGTTTCATGTCAAGGGGTGAAAACTTGCCTACAGTAAGCAGTTGAAGGAAACATACACAGCAATTCAATCGACACAATCTGGAGAACCAACTGTACACACATCTGATCGCCATTACATCCTTCCATTAGAGCCATTTAAACGGAGTGTTTTCCCCAGTAACGGTTAAAAATGCAGATTCAAGGCAAAACAAAATACAAAAAAAAACAACATTGACAGTCTTCAGAACGCAACCTCCTGCAGAAGCTCCTTAATAACAATAATTATACAATTCAGTGAGGAATTTGATGTTTGAGATGCAAATTTTCAGTTTTCAATAAGTGCGTTTTTCAATTGAGATGGTAACATTTTAAAGTGCTTTTAAAAGATTAAATTCGGCAAACAAGACAACCGTTAGACAAATGAGCATTAAACAATAAAATAAAATGGGAGGACTGTTGAGTGATTTCCTCTCCATTGCAAAACTTGCACTACACCAGATTCATATTGCACACAAAGGTCTTAAAACACCATCTTCTATATTCCCCCTGCTACAACAGTATTACAGTAATTTACACAGGACACTAGGATCTGGATCCAACTGACATTGAAAAACAAAGGACAATGGAAACCAAGTACACTGGAATCTATATATACTTGTCATAAGAAAAATGAACAGCAAAATCCGTAGTCTATAATAAAACAGAAATAAATAAAACAGTATTATCTAGTTGCAAGTGCAACAAAATGAAAACATGACCTAAAATGTTTAAATAAACCCCGCCCAGCATTAAATAGGCCCCACCCATTAACACGAGTCAATGAAAGGCAGTAACGTTGTGCTGAATGAAAAGCATTGGAACAGTAACTGTAGCGAGCCAATCAGCAGGTCTAAAAAAAATCAAAAGGCAACCAAAACCACAACAGACAATCCACAGTCATGTTTTGGTTGTGTGAGCCAGAACTAAATGTTGTGTGGGTTTCCCTGGGTTGATTGCAATGCTCAAACCACTGAAGATCCAATTGCCATTTCCAAAATGCAGAACTTCAAAATATGGACCCTATAATGGACTAAACCATACCAACTAAAATGACAAAAATCAAACAAAAGCTAAAGACTCGGGAGTATAGGTATATTGTAACTTCAATGGCTGTTTGACCACTGCACAAACCTCACTCCAACAAAACGACAAAGTGACAATATACAAACTCTTTTAAATGTAAAACGAACTACAAACTGTATTGCTATAACAGGGCGTCTATGAAGGAGAGGAGGGTGGGATGTGATCATTTCCACATTTAAGAATCCCTTAGCACGGCTTAGTTCACCCAAAAATGAAACTTCTGTCATCATTTACTCACTCTCATGTCATTCCAAAGTTTTATCAATTTCATTTTTCTGTGAAAAAGATGTTCTTTCCGTAAAATGAAAACAAGGATTGAAAAGGAGCACCAGAAACATAAAAAGCAGCTTAAAGTATGACAACCACTGAAAATCTTGACATCTCATTTGCATTTACGTTTTAACTCAAATATGGTGAATAAAAGACACGCTGTGGCAGGTTTGATGTCAATGCCACCGAATGCCATTATGTCTCAATCGAATGATCACGGAGGGCAAGATTTGAAGTGAATAATGACTTAAATTTGTAGTTGTTTGACTTCAGAAGTCACTCAAGTCATAATGGACTACCTCAATAGTGCTTCTTGTCCTTTTTAGAGCTTGAAATTGTCCATCTCATCCATTTTCATTTCAAAAAGCAGCATAAACATTTAGATATTCTTTAGTGTTTCATGAAAGAAAAATCTAACAAGTTTGGAACACCATGAGAGTGAATACATTTTTCATTATTGGGTCAACAATCTCTCTAATAAACTGCAAGGTTCCCTGCCTACCAAAAACAATATAACAAGAATCCTGTCTGGGAATATGGTAGGTAAACTAAGAGGAGAAATCCACACACGTGATTATTAATGATTTGTAGTGACTGAGCTACGGAGCAGCATCGATACGACAAACTCTACCTGCTTAAAAGTGAAATATTGAAATGTCAAAATGAGCATGTGACATCAGTATTATTGTTTTGTTTTTTTTACCTAGCTATGACTCATCCAAGACCTCAGGCTGTGGCATACACACAGGTCTTTATGCTGTAACAATGATTACTCGTTGTGTGTTCGTACAGTGCTTTAAATATTCCTGCAGCTCAGGTGCGTCTACATTAAGCAGCCTTTTCGTTCTCATTTCATGGAACTGCATCTCGTTTGTCTACTTTCAGAAACCTTTCATCCACTTTCAACATCATTTAAATCTTTCTTCTGAACATGTCCATCATTACAAAAACTAGTTCAATGGTTCATATATACAGTTCAATTGTAGTGTTTAACTTACTTATTTAGTTGAAATGTTCAATAGAAACTACTCAAAGCAAGAGAGAACAAGCTAACTCTCTAAACAAACCCAAAATGTGAATGTAAAAATAATGCAGCTAGAATTTTATTGTTCTTTTTTCCATTTTTCATTCATTTCTGCCTTTTTTTCTTTTGTAATACATTCAACTTGGCACAGTGAGGGATGTGGAGAGCAGGATTTGAGCAGAAACCTACTGTGCAAGAGTGAAGAGATACACGCTAATTTACACACACGTTCACTGGTGCAAAAAAAACTTTTTTTTAGTTTTCTTTGTATTTTAAAGGGAAGATATGAGAGATAAGAATGGAGGAACAACTGTACAGCCCAGACGGGGATAGTATTTCATGTTTCATACACATATATATACTTATATTCATTTTCATATGTATAGTATTGAACCCTCCCGTGCTGTGGAATGCCTGTTCAGCTTTTTGGGGTGATATCAGCTTCAGCTGGGGCTACTGGGGTTAAATTCAGCATTCAACAGCTGGAAAGAGTGAGCAATAAAGACACAGAGGGTGAAAAAGGAGAAAGAAAGGATGAAGTTATATTCGCAACCCATTTTACCTCCACAATGTGACATAGTTATGAGAATTTTGCAGCACTCATTTGCATTTACGTTTTAACTCAAATATGGTGAATAAAAGACACGCTGTGGCAGGTTTGATGTCAATGCCACCGAATGCCATTATGTCTCAATCGAATGATCACGGAGGGCAAGATTTGAAGTGAATAATGACTTAAATTTGTAGTTGTTTGACTTCAGAAGTCGCTCAAGTCATAATGGACTACCTCAATAGTGCTTCTTGTCCTTTTTAGAGCTTGAAATTGTCCATCTCATCCATTTTCATTTCAAAAAGCAGCATAAACATTTAGATATTCTTTAGTGTTTCATGAAAGAAAAATCTAACAAGTTTGGAACACCATGAGAGTGAATACATTTTTCATTATTGGGTCAACAATCTCTCTAATAAACTGCAAGGTTCCCTGCCTACCAAAAACAATATAACAAGAATCCTGTCTGGGAATATGGTAGGTAAACTAAGAGGAGAAATCCACACACGTGATTATTAATGATTTGTAGTGACTGAGCTACGGAGCAGCATCGATACGACAAACTCTACCTGCTTAAAAGTGAAATATTGAAATGTCAAAATGAGCATGTGACATCAGTATTATTGTTTTGTTTTTTTTACCTAGCTATGACTCATCCAAGACCTCAGGCTGTGGCATACACACAGGTCTTTATGCTGTAACAATGATTACTCGTTGTGTGTTCGTACAGTGCTTTAAATATTCCTGCAGCTCAGGTGCGTCTACATTAAGCAGCCTTTTCGTTCTCATTTCATGGAACTGCATCTCGTTTGTCTACTTTCAGAAACCTTTCATCCACTTTCAACATCATTTAAATCTTTCTTCTGAACATGTCCATCATTACAAAAACTAGTTCAATGGTTCATATATACAGTTCAATTGTAGTGTTTAACTTACTTATTTAGTTGAAATGTTCAATAGAAACTACTCAAAGCAAGAGAGAACAAGCTAACTCTCTAAACAAACCCAAAATGTGAATGTAAAAATAATGCAGCTAGAATTTTATTGTTCTTTTTTCCATTTTTCATTCATTTCTGCCTTTTTTTCTTTTGTAATACATTCAACTTGGCACAGTGAGGGATGTGGAGAGCAGGATTTGAGCAGAAACCTACTGTGCAAGAGTGAAGAGATACACGCTAATTACTATTGTTCACTGGTGCAAAAAAAACTTTTTTTTAGTTTTCTTTGTATTTTAAAGGGAAGATATGAGAGATAAGAATGGAGGAACAACTGTACAGCCCAGACGGGGATAGTATTTCATGTTTCATACACATATATATACTTATATTCATTTTCATATGTATAGTATTGAACCCTCCCGTGCTGTGGAATGCCTGTTCAGCTTTTTGGGGTGATATCAGCTTCAGCTGGGGCTACTGGGGTTAAATTCAGCATTCAACAGCTGGAAAGAGTGAGCAATAAAGACACAGAGGGTGAAAAAGGAGAAAGAAAGGATGAAGTTATATTCGCAACCCATTTTACCTCCACAATGTGACATAGTTATGAGAATTTTGCAGCATCTACTCACTTATTTTACTGTTTGACTCCGCCTCCACCACGGATGCCCGCTGATTGGTTATTCGGGAAGAGCCCCGCCCCTAAGCGGTTGACATTGGGGTGGGTGGGAGAGGCGACAGGGGGCTGACCTGGTCTGATTGGCTTGGCTGTGAAAGGAGGACATATGACTAGTTAGTTAAGCCAAAAAACAAACTTTGTTTACTAACTTAGTCTACTAAATCTATCGATCAAAAATCACTCCTAAAAGACTGAAGGCTGGAATACACTATAAGACTTGTGCACAGATTTTCAGCCTAATTTGCAGTCTGGACAAGTCAATGCTAGTCTGCAGGTTTTGGGCAGTCAGAGTTGACAGTTTTTCATTAAAAATCACCTGGTTTATGATGGGCACAGACTCAAATTTTTTATCGTTAGACTATGATTCCATTCAGTTGGAGGAGATCAAACATGTTTGATAATTTGAGCCCATTATAGAACAAATGTTGTTGTCATTTGCCATGCATCTCCTAGCAGTGAGACTCATGTTTATGTGTGAGATCACTGCAAGTGTATGAGGCCCAAAAGTTGTTTGTAAAAGTTGACAACAAACCGAAAAGCTTCAAAGCTGCCCATTAATTGTGTTAAATTCAAATTAAATCACGAGATGAACCATGATTAATCATTTTAATCTACTAATAATACAAATGTGAGCAAGCAACACCTCTTGGTAGCAATCAACAACTTTCACTGTTCCTCTGTTTTAGTATGACCCTACCAAAGTTGAAATGTCAAAAGACACGCGTCTTCCATAAGCACTTGGCTGAATCTAGTAACTGCACTCTTTTAAAGTGTGTGTGCTAACCGATCTGTGCGGAGTGTCCTCTGCGGGCCATGTTCTTGGCTCTGACAGCCTCTTTGATGCGGTCCACCTCCTGTTGGTAGCGTTTGCGGTCACGGGCTGTGTTCTCTTTGGCCTCTTTGAGTGCAGACTCCAGAGCCTTCACACGCTCCGCCGTGGCCCGCAGGCGCTTCTCCAGCTTGGGCAGCTCACAGCGCAGGTCAGCGTTATCACGCACCAGCTAGACAAAGGAAAGAAAGACTTCAGTAAGCATGTCAGTGCTCACCCTTCAGTGTTCACCCTGTGGTCTGTGTGGGTCCTAACGCCCCAGTATAGTGATGGGGACACTATACTGTCAACAAGCACCGTCCTTCGGATGAGACGTTAAACCGAGGTCCTGACTCTCTGTGGTCATTAAAAAATCCCAGGATGTCTTTTGAAAAGAGTAGAGGTGTGACCTTGGCATCCTGGCCAAATTCGCCCATTGGCCTCTGACCATCATGGCCTCCTAACAATCCCCATATCTACTGATTGGCTTCATCACTCTCTCCTCTCCACCAATAAACTGGTGTGTGTTGGGCGTTCTGGTGCACTATGTCTGCCGTCTCATCATCCAGGTGGATGCTGCACATTGGTGGTGGATGAGGAGATACCCCCTAACAATGTAAAGCGCTTTGAGTTCCTAGAAAAGCGCTATATAAATGTAATGAATTATAATGAATTAAGAATGTGTTTTGAGAGAATGCCTGTGGTATCCGATGTTTTAAGTGTGTGTTTACCTGCTCTCCTCTCCACCAATAAACTGGTGTGTGTTGGGCGTTCTGGTGCACTATGTCTGCCGTCTCATCATCCAGGTGGATGCTGCACATTGGTGGTGGATGAGGAGATACCCCCTAACAATGTAAAGCGCTTTGAGTGCCTAGAAAAGCGCTATATAAATGTAATGAATTATAATGAATTAAGAATGTGTTTTGAGAGAATGCCTGTGGTATCCGATCTTTTAAGTGTGTGTTTACCTGCTTGTGCACTTTAGTGAGCTGCTCAAGGTTGTTCTCAAGGAATGAGATCTTCTGTTTTTGTGCCGCACTGCCGCCAGTGTCATCTGAGTCCATCTCAGCACTCTGAAAAATATGTTAATGCATAATTCAGGCATGTCCGGGAGTGGTCGATAAAGTCATAACTGGAGTTTTATGACATCTATTAGCTTTGAAGACTAAAGGCTACTAGCCATAAAGAAAAATAAAATAAAATCGTAAAATAAGAAATAAAATAATTAAAAACTAATAATAATATAAAGTCAAATAAAAAATGTATAATTAAAAACCGTACTAAAATTTCTAATAATAATAGTAATAAAAAATGTAATTAAAAACTTAAGGTAACAATTAATAAAATCATTAAATAATTAGAATAAGGTGCAACTCGAAACATGTAACATTTATAATAATAATAATAATACAAATTAAATTAAATTATAAGCTTTGATATGTCTGTCAAAACGTCCTGTTTAAACAGGAACTTAACAGAAAAGGCATTTTAAAAAAGACAGCTATACACAAGAATCTATAAAGCCAGTCTAATGTTTAGCTTTTAATAGTAACCATAGCTCAGGGTTAGTCATTATAATTTCAAGAAATATCCACATTGAAACTATTGAATTATCTGGAGCAACTTTCTAACTACAAATTTCAGTTAAAGGAGAATGTGTTTACAACTGCGATACCTTCTTCACCCGTGTGGCCAGATCCTGAACAAAGAGTTTCCTCAGGTTATGAAGAGTCTGCAGCTCTTTGGCCTGAGGAGAAGAGAGCGATCAGAGCGTGCACGCATAAATATGAAACATCTCTCATGTACAGAACAAAATGACCTACCACTGTCTCCTCCAGGCCTTTGAGATCCTGTCTGGCCTGTTCCCTTCTGTCCTGCATCACCCTGTAAACATATTTCATCATTAAGACACCAGACCAAACTTTTCTCGCATGCTATTCAGATCTCTGCATGTTTGTTGCATGTCGTACGTCAGCTCGTGCAGTTTGCGGCTCTTCTCCTGGTCAGTGTTTTTGAGTTTCTCGTGCTCCACCTTCAAGCGCTCCTGCTCCAACATGATCTTCTGGTTCTGACTGTAGACAGAAAACAAAGTGAGAAAAAAATGAGCCCATGTGGATTAATTCAGTGCCTGAAGATGTGTATGTGTATATCTTACTCCTGCAGTTCTGTGATGAGTTTCTCCTTGATCTCCAGCTCGTCTCTCAGGCTGCTCAGCTGTTTCTGATGAGCTTCTCTGTGGTTCTGGATCTGCTGCTCAACTGCAACCTGTACAATCAAACATTCAGAGGAACTATGAATTACAATCTCTCTATTAAAATAAACAAAACTTCTATCAAAAGCCCCCCTTCTGAATCTAATCGAAGTGCAGAAAATATAATAGGTACATAAAGAGTATGAGCAAAACTCACTAAAATGCCTGGGAAAAAACATTATGCAATTGAAATGTATAAGATGCTTACCTTGACTTCATTAGCACTCTGTATCTCATTCTCCTTCTCCATGGCATGAACATTTTCTGCACAACGAAAAATAAACTTCATCACAACTTCTTTCATGCCCAATACAGTCTCACCACAAGAGGGCAGTAAAAGTTGGTCAATCTGGGCCACACAGTTTTTGTATGGGCATTAAAATGCATTTATGAGAGGACAGAAAAGCATGTGTATTTGTACCCTGTGCACTGAGTTTGACCAGTTCCTCATTGAGAGAGTCGACGTTCTCCTCTAGCTGTCTCTTCTTCTGTTCAATGTTTTGCAGATACTCTGTCAGGGACTTGATCTTCGCCTCATACTGTATACAAACACAGACAAATAAATCTCAATATCTTTTTAAAGTTTCCTGTAAATGCCATGCTAGTATTGTAATGGAGAGCATGTGGTGTTTCCATTTAACTAAAGTCATACAATAATGATCTAATAAAACATAAGACTGGTTTTACCAAAATAACTTTGTAAATGCTCTTTTATGTTCAGTAAAAGAAACTAAAACAAGTTTAAAAAGCTATACGTGCGAGTAAATGATGACAGTTTTCATTTCTGGATGAACTACCTTAATAAGAGAGAATAGTTGTTTTATCATGTCGTTTTTTGCATTTACCTGAGAGATACGGAGCTGACAGGCTGCGAGCTCTTTCTCGTTCTCATCCATCTTCTTGTTACTCTCGGCCTGAGTGCTTTCCAGCTGTTTGCTGCGCTTCACCAGAGTCTTCACCTCCGACTTCATCTTACTGATGTACAGACGAGCGACTGTGAACTCTTCATCAATGAGACCTCCACCCTCATGCTGCTGAGACAAAACACAGACAGAGAGAAAGAAAGAGAAATAGCTGAGGTTAAAGAGAAGGGTAAGCAGTTAAAACAGTGCAAAGGAAGTGGAAAATAAAAAGCAAGGACAAAAAGAAAACACGCGCGCACACACATAATAGTTGTTTTATCATGTCGTTTTTTGCATTTACCTGAGAGATACGGAGCTGACAGGCTGCGAGCTCTTTCTCGTTCTCATCCATCTTCTTGTTACTCTCGGCCTGAGTGCTTTCCAGCTGTTTGCTGCGCTTCACCAGAGTCTTCACCTCCGACTTCATCTTACTGATGTACAGACGAGCGACTGTGAACTCTTCATCAATGAGACCTCCACCCTCATGCTGCTGAGACAAAACACAGACAGAGAGAAAGAAAGAGAAATAGCTGAGGTTAAAGAGAAGGGTAAGCAGTTAAAACAGTGCAAAGGAAGTGGAAAATAAAAAGCAAGGACAAAAAGAAAACACGCGCACACACACATATATATATAAATAAGTGAAAGAAGTTAATGCAACAAATTTCGCCCTTTTACCTTAATGTCATTGCTGCCTATGGCGATGCCAATCTCTGCCAGGTCTTTAAGCAGTGATGACATCATCTCAGTGACTCTCTTCTTCTGATGGTTGGTCATTTCCTTCAGTTTCTGCAGCTCAGAGTCGATAGATGCAAGAACGCTCTGCAACAACAGACAGCTCAGATCAGCAACCAGTACCAAGACATAACTTCAAATTACTTGCACTGATATAGTTACCCTGTCGCTCTAAAATTACATTATTTTAAATATAATAATTGCTTTATCTTTTGTATATATCAGTTATACAACATTATTAATACTCAGTTGTTATTATTATTATTATTATTACTAACATCAGATTTTCTAATTTGCTGTCTAGACAAAAAGAGAGTAGAACATTTTCAAGCAAAAGTAAATTATAACTTTTCGGTGAAAGAAACCATCACATATGATAAAACAATAGTGAAGAAAACTGTGTTTTTAATGAAGAGTTTCTCCTCACAGATTTCTGGTTGAGCTCTTCACTCAGGGATTCAAACTCCTTGGTCTTGTCCTCCACCTCCTGACTCTTCTGATCATAGTTGACTGCGAGCTCCTCCAGGGCCTGCAGCACCTCCTTCACCTCCTCTTTAGACGCCTCATTCTCCATCTGCAGACGGGTGAGCTCCGCCTGCAGGTTGTCATGGTCCCTTCGCGTTGAGGCCAGCAGCTACAATTCAAAGATTTTTTTTTTCATTGTGGCAATTGTGGTATTATTATTAGTGTCAAATTATTGAGGAGAGAGAAGAGGGGATTGTGATTAGGGCTGAACGATTTTGGAAAATAATCTAATTGCGATTTGTTTTACCAATATTGCGATTTAATATGCAATTATTCTTTTTTTAAAGCTCTTTATGTTCTGTATTATTCAACAAAGACAAGCTATAAATCATTGTATAGTATGACCAACACACTATTAGATAGATTTTCTTTTCTGTAGGCCAGGCCTATATGTTACGATGAAATTAGGTGATGCATGAATTGATATGAATGACATTTTTATTTAACAACTGCAATCACAGTATATTGACTGATTTGTTGAACTTCCAACCTGGTAAGCATCTAATAATTATGACAACATAAAGTACTGACAAATAAGCCTGGTGTAAACATTAATATGAACGTCAGTAACAAATCACACAAACTAAAGTAGATTGCAGAAATATAAAAACAAATCTGTTGCTTTACCACACTACTTTAGGTAATTCACAGCCACTGTACTAAACTTATGTAAACATGTGCCCTGCACTTTTTAAACACTGTCTGTTAACTTTAGACCAGTGGTTCTCAGACTTTTTTGATTGCGCCCCCCTCAGACTACCAAATAATTTCACTAAACATTATGAAAAATTAATGTTTATTTAATTAAAAAAACCTACAGGGAAAAAAACACCTGCATCACTTGAAACATTGAAAAATAGCATAGAGAGAATAACTTATTATTATTCTCTCTCTGTTATTTATTATTTTTTGTGGGTTTCATGCTGTCCGCTAAGGCATAGGACACACAGGCTTTCCTCCTCACCAACGACATTAAACACCGTGTCTACACCGGACGCGATCGGCAAAATACAGTAGAAACCATTATAATCAGTGACACGGTGTACACTGGATGCGGCGCGGCGCGACAAAACCCGACATTAAACTGATGCCTTGTTCTATTTATGACGTACTGACACAAAGTTAAAATGATTTGCAAAGGTCACTTTGTCGCGTCCAGTTTAGAGCTGTTGTGGTGCAACGCACAACTGTAGCGTCCGGTACACAGACTCTCCATAGACACGGTGAGTGAAGCCGAGAGCAAGATGTGCCTCATCATATTTTCTGCATTTAGCTTTTAAATGACCAGCACCTGCCTGGGTCTGTGCGACTTCATCTATGGCTTTTCTCTTCGCTTTCACAAACCGATCCATCTCCCATTCTAAGTTACGTCCTTTGGCTATTCACTTATTTATTTTCTTTTTCTGCTGATGGCCTGCGCTCGACTTGAAGCAGCGCTGCTTAGATCGATGGGTGTGTGTCATCAAAGCACTGGGAGAGCTATAAGAGAGCACGGACGTCTCCTTATGCTTTCTCTCGCTCACCGTACTTTGATGTCATACACCGATCTGATCTTCAAGTCGAACACACCTCTTTACGCTCGCCTGTCATGTGACCGTGTAATCGCAGCCTCTGCGATTGAAAAATCTAAATTTTTCATAATCGCGATATTATCGCAAATGCAATTAATCGTTCAGCCCTAATTGTGATGGGATCTCAACTCAACATGCAAGGAGCATGTGCACTAGGCCAGAACACTATTTATTATTTATAGCTTTTAAAGGGCAAACCCCAACTCCCAAGTTTTTAGTCTCCAAATGATTCACAGCCAACTAGGAGACAGGACATTGCTCTTATTTATGGGAAATAATGTAAATCTGATGTGCATGTTCAGCTCTCACCTCTTCCTGATCCAACATCTGCTGCTTGAGTTTCTCAGCCAGCTGAGACTGCTGATTTATCTCATCATCCTACAGGCAGACAACAGAGAGAGAGAGAGAGAGAGAGAGAGAGAGAGAGAGAGAGAGAGAGAGAGAGAGAAACACAGAA